GAGGGAAAAAAATGAATGTGAGGGTCAGATCATGAAGGGATTTGGCAGGAAGGTAAATAATTCAAAATTTTATTCTGCCATCAATAGGAAACCATCCAAACAAACAATGCCTTTCTTTCTTTCTTTCTTTCTTTCTTTCTTTGTCTTTCTTTCTTTTTCTTTCTTTCTTTTTCTTTCTTTCTTTCTTTTTCATTCATTCTTTTTCGTTCTTTCTTTTTCTTTCTTTCTTTTTCTTTCCTTCTTTCTTTTTTTCTTTCTTTCTTTCTTTCTCTCTCCTCCTTTCTCTTCCTCCCTCCCTCCCTCCCTCCCTCCCTTCCTTCCTTCCTTCCCTCCCTCTTCTTTCTTTCTCTCTGTCTCTCACCCTCTCCTTGTTTCTTGAAGGAGTTTTGCTCTTGTCGCCCAGGCTGGAGTGCAGTGGTATGATCTCAGCTCACTGCAACCTCTGTCTCCCCGGTTCAAGCAACTGTTCTGCCTCAGCCTTCCATGTAGCTGGGATTACAGGTGTGTGCCACCACACCTTCCTGATTTTTGTATTTTTAGCAGAGATGGGCTTTCACTATGTTGGCCAGGCCGGTCTTGAACTCTTGATCTCAGGTGATCTGCCTGCCTCACCCTACCAAAGTGCTGAGATTACAGGCGTGAGCCACTGTGCTCCGCCTCTTATTTTATTTATTCAAACTTTAGCTAAGCAGAGGTCACAAAATGTGGGCCATGGACTGTTGTTCCTGTTGAAGGTAAGTTTAGGTAAGCTTTGGTTATTTAGGATAGTCTGGGGAATGCAGAATTAAATAACCTTGATTTACCCAGGGAGAATATTAATTTCTTTTTTAAAAATTTAAAAGTCTTAATTTTATTTCTATATGTACACTTAAAAAATTAAGACTTTAATTTTTAGAGAAGTCTTAGGTTTGCAGAAAAATTGAGGAGAAAGTCAAGAGAGTTATCATATAGTCCCCTCTCGCATTATTTTAATTATCTTTCAAGGCTACATGGGTGGCTGAGGCACTAGAAATGCTGGGACCTGGGAGGTGGAAGAAAGTTCAGTGAGCTGAGATTGTGCCACCACACTCCAGCCTGGGTGACGGAGCAAGACTGTCTCAAAATAAATAAATAAATAAAACATAAATAAATGCCAGGCGCAGTGGCTCCCACCTGTAATCCAAGCACTTTGGGAGGCTGAAGCAGGAGGATCACCTCAGCTCAAGAGTTCGAGACTAGCCTGGCCAACATGGTGAACCTGTCTCTACTAAAAATACCAAGAGCTAGCCGGGCGTGGTGGCATGTGCCTATAATCCCAGCTACTCAGGAGGCTGAGGCAGGAGAATCACTTGAGCCAGGGAGGCGGTGATTGCAGTGAGTGAGATTGTGCCACTGCACTCCAACCTGGGTGACAGAGCAATCTCCATCTCAAGGGTGGTTGGCGGGGGTGGGTCGGGGGGGGAGAGAAAAAAAATTAATCCTCTTTCAATGCTGATTATTCAAGATGAAAGTCTTAGTTTGGTGCTGGTGTATCTTTAACACCTCTCTGATAATTGCTCATCCTGTTGAAAGGGATTGGGGAGGAGAAGAGAGAGGTAGAGAGAGAGGGAAGAAAAGGGAGAGAATAAACACTCGTGTTTTGGGTCTTTGACAAGCCATGTATCAAGTTAGAACTGAAAAAAAACATCGTTTTGTTTTCAGTGCTCTCATGTTGAAGTTTTCTTCCACTTCTGAGAGCAACACTCATTTTCTCTTTAGGGCGAGGTGATAAAAAGTTTCGTTGTAAAATAAATCTATTCCTATACAGAAAGTGAATAGGTGAAGTAGATGATAAAGGTGACATGCTGATGACTAAAGCTTGAAAAGTTAAGGACTAAGGAATTCTGGCAGAGGTTGCATTCTTCCCTCATGGTAAATTGCCATCTGACCTTTCCAGTGTTGATGGAGTTTTCTGGAGAAAAGCCCCACCTTCTTTAGTAAGAAGAAGCTTCGCCCCAGGCGAGCACTGGCTTTATGAAAATCCTGTGTACTGTATATCGCTTACACCTTCTTTCCTTGACTGCTCTTCTCTGATCTCTCATTCCCATACAGTCTTTTCCTTTTTTTAATTTTTAAGTTATTATTATTATTATTATTATTTTGAGACAGGATTTCACAACTGTCACACAGGCTGGAGTGTTAGTGGCGCAATCACGGCTCACTGCAACCCCTGCCTCCTGGCTCAGGCAATCCTCCTGCCTCAGCCTCCCAAGTAGCTGGGATTATAGGCACGTGCCACAGTACCCAGCTCATTTTTGTATTTTTTGTAGAGATGAGGTCTTGCTATGTTGCCCAGGCTTGTCTTGAACTCCTGGGCTCAAGTGATCCATCCCCCTTGGCCTCCCACAGTACTGGGATTACAGGCAGGCGCCACCACGCCTGGCCAGTCTTTTCTGTAAAGCCCCAGTGAGGAATAATAAAATGAATGCTTTCTTTTAAAAGGACACCTAATGTGAACAACAACAATGGCAAGACAGGCTCAGGATGTTTTTTAAGAGTGATCACCCATAGTACATGAAAAAATAATTCCCAGCACTTTGGGAGGCCAAGGCGGGTGGATCATGAGATCAAGAGATGGAGACCATCCTGGCCAACATGGTGAAATCCTGTCTCTACTAAAAATACAAAAATTAGCTGGGTGTGGTGGCGCATGCCTGTGGTCCCAGCTACTTGGGAGGCTGAGGCAGGAGAATTGTTTGAACCCGGGAGACGGAGGTTGCAGTGAGCTGAGATTGCGCCACTGCACATTCCAGCCTGGTGACAGAGTGGGACTCTGTCTGAAAAAAAAACCCAAAAAACAAAACCCAACCAACTAGACAAAACTATTAGTGGCACACACAGATTTTCAGGAACACTCCAGGGAGAGGGGAATATTCTAGCTAAGGCAATTTATCTGAAATCCATTTCCTGTATCCTAGGATACCCAGGCCTGAGGGCAACAACCAATAAAAGGATTGATTGGGGCAGTAAATTTTCTTTGCTTTGAGAGAATCTTTATTATATTAGTGTATCATGCTTTTCGTTTTCTGGGTTCTGTGAACCTGGGTTCACATCTACACTCAACCATTGGCTGGCTGTGTGACCTTGGACAAGCTACCCCCTCACACTCTAAACTTCTGTGTCTGTACAGTTAGAAAAATATTACTGATTTGTGGAGTTCAAGACCAGTTTGGGCAACATGGCAAAACCCCATCTATATTAAAAAGACAGAAATATTACCCAGATGTGGTGTTGCAAGGCTGTAGTCCCAGCTACTTGGGAGGCTGATGTAGGAGGATTACTTCAGCATGGGAGGCAGAGGTTGCAGTGAGCTGAGATCATGCCACTGTACTCCAGCCTGGGCAATGGATGAGACTGTCTCAAGAAAACCCAAAAATCCAGAAAAGTATTACTGATCTCATAGGGTTGTGTAAGGAGTAAATGAAATGTGTGTGTGTATGTATGTGTATGTGTGTCCCTTTTGGGGAAGAAAAAGTTACCAAGTAAATAGTGAATAACTGGAATTGCATCTGTTCCAAAGTCATACTTTGGAACGTGAAGTACATATAGTAGTGACTTCAACTATATGACGAGAGAGCAAATAACATAAACACCTCCAGCCACAAACACATACTGGGAAATTAGTTTGTTTGCCCAGCTGGGTACCATCTCACTGCGCAGAATGAATTCTAGTATTTTCAGCTAGTATTTGTGGAACAATATGGCCCTAGACACAAGCCAACTACTCCATGTGGCCCTCCATCAAGGAAATGATGTTGGGTTTCAGTGCAGAAGAGCAAAAATGACCAAGTGGACCTTCCTGGGACACAGGACTGACTGTACTTTATGGAGGATCTTGACTGATGTTACTTTTTTCTTACTCACTAGCTTTAGATCCTAGCCTTGTGTAAGATGCAACTCTATTAAAGAAAACTTACCCCTGTGAGAGTTTTTGTAGTTGTTTTTCTGGCTGTTTATTTGGGATTCTTGAGCCTCACTGTTTAGCAAAACGTTGCAAATTGTTTTCGTCTTTACTCTTTTCTTCTAATGCTTCATCGACATCTTTAATCAGTCCTTTGGTGTACTTCACCAGGGTTGCTCAAAAGTGAGTGTGCATCGGAATCATCCACATTTTTCTTGCATGTGTCCTCTTCCCTCCACCTTCAACAGCTTCTGATTAGGGGCAACTGGAGTCAGGTCTGAAATGTGCATTTTTAACATATTCCCAGGTGATGCTCATACTCCCTGTCCCAAACCTTCACTTTGAGAATCCCTGTGCTAGGTCTTCCCTAATGAAGACAAGGCCCCTACCACAGAGACTTTCAAAGTTGACTCGCCAGAACCCACATTACTATAGTAGATGCACTTTGATTTTTTTTTTTTTTTTTTTGAGACAGGATCTCACTCTGTCGCCCAGGCTGGAGTGCAGTGACGCTATTTTGGCTCTCTGGGCTGAAGCAATCCTTTCATCTCAGCTTCCTGAGTATCTAGAACCATAGGCTTGCGCCACCACACCTGGCTAATATTTTTTGTACTTTCAATAGAGACAGGGTTTTGCTCTGTTGCCCAAGTTGGTCTTGAACTCCTGGGCTCAAGTGATCTGCCTGCGTCAGCCTCCCAAAGAGCTGGGATTACAGGTGTGAGCCACTGTGCATGCCCTCCATTTTTTTTTTTTGTTTGATTTTAAGAAAATGCTGACTCACTGATTGCATTTGATGAGCCATGGGTCATGTCCCAGCTGGAAAATACTGCTAGTGTTTGATAATAAAAATTGCACTGGTAAAAATACATTACTCTGCATTAGACAATAGGCAAAAATTAAGTTACCTCTCTCTTTTCCTACTACAACAGAGAGACCATTTTAAAAGCATGGATCCTTCTACTTGTAAGCAAGTGAAGTCATATAAAGACTTTAGCTGCTGAAAGTGAGATGGAGAAGCCTTTGGTTTTTAGAGAATTCTCTTGGATTTTGACATATGGCTTGTTTTATTGTTCCAAAGTAGGACAGAACTGAAATAACAGTGAAGAAGACTGAAGATCTGCCTGCTCCGACATGTGGAGAGACACTACAGAATGTAGAATGCCTGAGCTGCCACAGGGATTCCATGTGACATCTGCCACATGCGGGCATGAAATTAATTCTCCATCCTGTTCTTCTCTAAAGACATTTTCACGGCTGCTTTCCAGAGGGCCTGTGACTTGTGAGTGTTATCTTTGGTTTATAGGTGGTCTTTGACTTTCATTTGTCTCACTTGCACATATCACACATTGACATTAAACCTTCATGCACATAACTTGGCTTTTCTGTTGTCGCTGTCTGTATAATGATTTTCTAGCGATCCTCCCTGCAGTGGCCTGTGCTCTGGAATGGTGTGGCCTGAGCCAAGGTGCCAGGCATAGTCAGTCACTTTTACTAATACTAGTGCTGCTCTAGGCCCAGGGGCCTCGTTTTAGTCCACACCTCCTTGGTTATATTCTTTGCGCTTCAGCAGCCCGACTCTCTAGAACAAGCTAGTACCAGGCTTCCATCCTTGTCGTGGAAATCTTGTCTGGCCCCACTTCTGTCTGGTTCTCACTCCCACATTACCTGGGCTTGGAAGAATGGCAGGCATGGGGAATGGGTAAGGAGTGATAGGTTGCTTTGGTGGAGTGAAGAACACGCTTCATTTGTCCTCCTTAATGGACCCATCACATCTGGGCTCAAAGATTTAAAGATTAAAGGTGTAGAGTCTTCTACTCCTGTCTCTGGCAATAGCATCAGGTTTGTAGGAAAGATAAATGTGCTCAAAGCAGCACACAGTCTCCCCACCCCCTGAAGGTTTCTGTCTGCCTCACCGGGCAGGGATCTGGGCTGAAAAGGCACAATGCATCCATAACAATACTTATGATCTTTACTTGAAAAACTTTCTCAGAAACAAAATGCTTGTGTGTGTGTGTTTTGTGTATGTGGATTTTGAAGAGATGGGTCTTGCTATGTCACCCAGGCTGGAGTGTAGTGGCTATTCACAGACATGATTGTAGTGTGCTACAGCTTTGAACGCCTGGCCTCAAGCAATCCTCCCTCCTCAGCCTCCTGAGTAGCTGGGATTACAGACACACACCACTGTGTATGGCCAAAATACTCTTGTAATGTCTAACTATGAGTTTGTTTGACTTTGAGAACTGCAGTTTTCATAAAATGCTTCCTCCTCCTTAAGATCTCAGGTAAACAGTTATCTCATCAGGAAGCCCTCTGTGACTTCTAGCAAGTTTGAATTTCCTTTCCTCAGGACAAGCTCACAAAGGATGAGTGCTTCTCCTTCACAGCACACTCCTTACAGATGCGTTTTTTTAAAAATGAACTTTATTTTGGTTTTATTTTTAAACAGTTGCAGAGATGGTAGAGAGTACCATATTCCTCACTCAGTTTCTTGATGTTAACATTTTTTTTTGAGGCAGGCTCTTGCTCTGTTGCCCAGGCTGGAGTGCAGTGGTGTGATCTCAGCTCATTGCAGCCTCAATCTCCTAGTCTTAAGCAATCTTTCCACCTCAGCCTTCTGCGTAGCTGGGACTACATGTGCGTGCCACCATACCTCACTAATTTTTGTATTTATTTTGTAGAGATGGGGTTTTACCATGTTGCCCAGGCTGGTCTTGAACTCCTGAGCTCAGGCAATCCACCTGTCTTGGGCTCCCAAAGTCCAGGGATTATAGGGGTGAGCCACGGTGCCCAGCCCTGACGTTAGCATCTTAAGTTACCATGCTGTATTTGTCAAAGCTAAGAAACCAACATTGGTATATTACCTTAGACTAAACTCCAGACTTTATTTGCATTTTAAGTGTCCTTTTCTGTTCTAGGCTCCAATCCACTTACCAAGTCTTCTTGGTCTCCCCCTTTGGTCTGTGCACTGGTCTGGACTAGGGAATTAGAGGGGAGTAAGAAGACTTACTCCCTGCCCTATAGGAGTGTCTCAGTCTGAATGTCTTAAAGGGGAGTGTAGACAACTCAAGGTTAAACACAGATGAAGAGACAAATTACCTGTGTTCCCTATTGGAATTTTCCTTTTCTGTAGTGGAAGCAAACACTGATGAAGTGATTATTGGATTTCAAGGAACTAAGTTCTATTTGTTTATCGTTTAGAAGAAGCCTTTTGGTGACAGTTTTCTTAAGGACTTGGACTCCCTGAATTTAATCTTCCGCTATTGGGCTAACGTTGAATGGGAAGATCAAGGAGCCTTAATATAGTTGTCCATATTGTGATTAGTTTCAGGACTCCCAGGACAACAAAATCTGTGGATGCTCAAGTCTCTGACCTAAAGTGGCCTATTATCTGCAGAAAACCAATGCACATCCTGCTATATAGATGGCAGATTACTTATAATTAGATTACTTTAAGTAGGTTACTTATAATACCTAATACAATGTAAACAGTATGTAAATAGTTGTCATATTGTATTTTTTTCCGTGTATTTTTTATTGTTATTTTACATTTTTTTCTGAATGTTTTTGATCCACGGTTGGTTCAATCCAAAAAACGGAACCCGCAGATGCAGAGGGCTGACTGTACTTGCTTTTCTATGAGTCTTGGGACAAGTTGGAGGGAAAAATCTGTCCTAAATCAAAAGTTCTTCAGCCTTAAATGTGATTGTGAAAAAAAAGGAAACCTTAAGATCATTCATCTTCCCAACCTGCCCCACTTCCAAGAGGATGGAGAAGAAGCAAGAACCCGGCGAACAGCTTCAGACATAGGTGACAACTTTCTTTTTTTTTTTTTGAGACGGAGTTTCACTCGCTCTTGTTACCCAGGCTGGAGTGCAATGGCGCAATCTCGGCTCACTGCAACCTCCGCCTCCTGGGTTCAGGCAATTCTCTTGCCTCAGCCTCCTGAGTAGCTGGGACTACAGGCACGCGCCACCATGTCCAGCTAATTTTTTGTATTTTTAGTAGAGACAGGGTTTCACCATGTTGACCAGGATGGTCTCGATCTCTTGACTTCGTGATCCACCTGCCTAACCAGCAAGAACCTACAGGAAATATAGGAAACCTTGGAATGTAATTCTTTTAGGAAATATATCTCCCCATTGGCCACCAGCACCTTTTCATTTGTCTTCTTGAATAGTAAAAGCCAAGTTCCAGAGGCAACTAATCAGTTTCCCACCCCATTCCTTAAAAAGGGTCTTCTTAAGGTTGCCTGTGACCTCCATGTTGCTCAAGCTAATTAGGTCAATTCTTACTCTGCATTGTACTCGATCCATTGTTTGGTATAGTTACTCCCTCTTCCTCTATACCCTTTCTTCACTTGGCTTCTAGGACACTACACTCTGTTTTCTTCTTACCTCACTTGTCATGAATTCTCAGTCTTCTTTGTAGGTTATTCTCTTCTTCCCCCAACTCATAATGTGGAAGTGTCCTGGATCCTTGATCCTCATCTCAATCTATATGCACATCCATGAAGGTCATATTCAGTCTTGTGATTTTCACATTTATGTGCTGACTCCTTCTAAGTGTATATCCCCTGCTGGGCACGGTGGCTCACACCTGTAATCCTAGCACTTTGGGAGGCCGAGGCGGGTGGATCACTTGAGGTCAGGAGTTTCAACACCAGCCTGACCAACATGGTGAAACTCCATCTCTACTAAAAATATAAAAATTAGCCAACGATGGTGGCATGCACCTGGAATCCTACGTATTCGGGAAGCTGAGGCAGGAGAATTGCTAGAACCTGGGAAGCAGAGGTTGCAGTGAGCTGAAATTGTGCCATTGTACTCCAGCCTGGGTGACAGAGCGAGACTCCATCTCAAAGAAAAAAATTATATCCCCAACTCAGGCCTTTCTCCTACATGGCAGATGTACATTCTACAGCCTATTCACTGACAACACTTGGATGCCCAGCAGATGCCTCACACTTTACATGTCCAGACCTGGACCCTGATCTTCCCTTAGAAACCTGCTCCACCCTCAGCCATGTCTGTCAGAGTGGTTGGCAACTCCACCCTTCAAAGTGCTCAGGAAAATCTTAGGTATTATTTCTCTTCCTTTCTCTCAGGCCCATATGCAAGCCTTCAGGAAATCTAATTCCAGTTTATTTACATGTATAAAAAATCCATTTCTCACCACTTCTGCTATTCCCTCTGCTATAAAATTTGTTTAAGTTCTCCGCAGCTAGTAAGTGGTGGAGTAGTCATTTGAGAGACTGCTCCAATAGCACCATAATGTTACTCCTATATGTAGCCACCTACACTGGGTGATTCAACAAGACTCAAAAATTTCTCCTTTCTCCAAAAGACCTCTTCAGTCTCTCCAGCCTCTTCTGATTCCTGTCTCCTATAGAAGAGGAATAAGTTTTAAGAGTAGTTTTGCTTAAAGAATAGAGAACAAGTTTTTGAAGACACAGTAATATGTAACAGGTCAGTTTGATTAATTCATTTAGTCAATAAACATTTATTTAACATCTATTATGTACCAGGCATGGATCAAAGCTATTGGGATATAACAGTGAAAAAAAAAATAAACCAAGACCCTCTACCTTAAGAAGCTTACAGTCTAGTGAAAAAAGACAGAAAATAATAAATAAATTAAAAAAGAGTAGATTATAATAAAAGGTGTCAAGTCCTGCAAAACAAATGAAAACATAACATGGGATAATGAGGATCAGGAATAGTGGGGGTGAAAGGGGCAGGTAAATAAGATGTCAGTTGGCCTCAGTGTGAAACCACTGTTGCAAAATTATAACTGTGAAGATTATTACAGTGATACAGTGAAAGAGAACTGACCTAACTGACTCCATCTTGCTTCTAACCTCCAAGCTTTCCTTGTTCATTCCTAGGCATAGGCCAAACTAACTTTGGAAGCAACTTAGTGTATAGTTTAACTTTGAAACAAAGACATAATATCCCTTTCCCAAAATAAATACTTTTACAGCCTTTGGACTAGTCTGCCTTTGCAGGACTAACAAGTTAGCCACAAGATTAGAAATTATGGTTTAGGGCCGGGCGAGGTGGCTCACGCCTGTAATCACAGCACCTTGGGAGGCCAAGGCAGGAGGATCATGAGGTCAGGAGTTTGAGACCAACCTGGCCAACATGGCAAAACCCCGTCTCTACTAAAAATACAAAAATTAGCCAGGCATGGTGGCGGGTGCCTGAAATCCCAGCTACTTGGGAGGCTGAGGCAGGAGAATCACTTGTACCTGGGAGACAGAGGTTGCAGTGAGGTGAAATTGTGCCATAGCACTCCAGCCTGGTGACAAGAGCAAGACTCTGTCTCAAAAAAAAAAAAAAAAAGACAAGAAAAGAAATTACAGATTAGGAGTCATGCTACTAGAGGCTATAAGATTCTGATCCTCCCCAAATTGTTCCTGGGGATAACATCACTATTGTAAAGCCTACAGTCAGTGCTTGAGATGTTTTGCAAACCCTGCACTTGATGGATCAGCTAGCACCACCCAGATTGATAAACTGGCTCATCTAATCTTGTGGTCCCCACCCAGGAACTGACTCAGTGCAGGAATTCGATTCCCTAAGATTTCATTTCCAACCCAACCAATAAGCACTCTCAACTCACTGACTCCTACCCACCAAAATGTCCTTAAAAACTCCATCCCCCAATTGTTGGGGGGACCAATTTGAGGAATAATAAAACTCCAGTCCCCTGTACAGCTGGCTCTGTGTGAATTGCACTCTTTATTGCAATTGTCCTGTCTTGATAAATCAGTTCTGTCTAGGCAGCGGGCAAGGAGAACCTCTGGGGCTGTTACAAGTGGGAGGGTAAGACTTAAACAAAGGTTTTGAGGAGGTAAGAAAAATAGCCAAACTCTATAGAGAGAATAGGATTGAAGCAAAAGGAGCAGCTGGAACAAAGACCCCAAGACAGAGCGAGTAGCCTCCACTTCCTAGGTTCACGTGATCCTCCCACTTCAACCTCCAGAGTAGCTGGGATTACAGGTGTGTACCACCATACTTGGCTAAATTTTGTAATTTTAGTAGAGATGGGGTTTCGCCATGTTGACCAGACTGGTCTCAAACTCCTGACCTCAAGTGATCCACCAGCCTCATCTTCCCAAAGTGTTGGGATTACAGGCATGAGCCACCATGCCTGGCCTGTAAATATATTTGTGTGGGCCTTTTAGAGCCCTTATTCCAGCTTCTCTTAAGTGTTGAAAACTCAACCTTGGAGAGATTGACACACCTTAAACAACACAGCTACTGATAGACTATGATGAGAACTCAAGTCTTTTGATGCCCAATTACTCTTTCTAACACTGAATGCTCTGTGCTAAACTTTGCTCCTATGCAAACAAATACCTCTGAGAGGGAGGCACTTTAAGCCTTTTAGGGGGCCTAATGAAATTAGTTGCTTTTTTCCATTTTCCCCAAATTCCGGCTACTGCAGACTCTGTCATTGTCCCTCTGCCCTCCATTTTCTTTTTTTTTTTTTTAGACAGAGTCTCACTCTTGCCCAGGCTGGAGTGCAGTGGTGGAATCTCAGTTCACTGCAACCTCCACCTCCCAGGTTCAAGTGATTCTCCTGCCTCAGCCTCCCAAGTAGCTGGGACTATAGGCTCATGCCACCACACCCGGCTAATTTTTGTATTTTTAGTAGAGATGGGGTTTCACCGTGTTGGTCAGGCTGGTCTTGAACTCCTGATCTCAAATGATCCACCTGCCTTGGTCCCCCAAAGTGCTGGGATTATAGGTGTGAACTACCATGCCCAGTCCCACCCTCCATTTTTAAATCACTGTTTTGTCTGTGTTGTGTTATCAGCCTTTTCTTCCCTTGGGTATCTCACAGACTCCTCCTAGCCTTCAAGCCCAGCCTAACTGTCAGCTGTTCCCAGAAGCCACTGAAATTCAATCCCATTCCCTGACCAATCTCCAGGCAAATCAATCGTCTTACCTGTCTTTCTATATTACTTTGCCTTCGCATAAATATTGATCAGAGCAACTCTTACTGTAATTCCTTTATCTTTGTTTATGCATGCCTGTCTCTCTTGCTGAAGTGTGAGCATCTCAAGGAGAGTATTCATACTCTATGCATGGGCCTACTGCTAGCACCAAACCACCCCATTAATGACTGTTGGATGAATGAGTGAGTGAATGATGGGAGAATTGGATCTTGATAAGAGCAAGAAAGGCTTTGGGGAAATAAGACATAAAATGTGTGCTGGGTGGTGTTAGTAGATTAGGAGGAGGAAGAAAATCTGGGTGAAAAGGTACTGAAAGTGAAAATGAGAAAGGTCCCAACTTGGTTTTTGACCCACCTCACACTTTTCCAGGACTAGTGGTGAGTGTGCCCTATAGAAATGTTGGGGGAAGAAGATTTTAAATTTAGACTGAAATTTGTTAATTCTAGGTGAATAAAAGTTAACAACAAGTCAGAACTTTCTTAGCTTGTTAAAGCTCTGTTCATTGGAGATGCAAGAGCTAGGTAATTTTTTTTTTTTTTTTTTGAGAGGAGGTTCTCACTCTGTTGCCCAGGCTGGAGTGCAGTGGCATGATCATGGCTCATTGCAGCCTCAAGCTGCTTGGTTCAAGCCATCCACCCAACTCAGCCTTCTGAGTTGCCGGGACTACAGGCGTGTGCTACCATGCCTGGCTAATTTTTAGGTTTTGTGGAGATGGGGTCTTGCTGCACTGCCCAGGCTGGTCTCAAACTCCTGGCCTCAAGTAGTCTTCCTGCCCCAGCCTCTCAAAGAGCTGGGATTACAGGCATGAGCCCTGATCCCTGACTCTAGATAAAAGACTTTGCTGTGATCAAATAATGTTCTTAACTTCACTAGGAGGAAATGATGCAGTAAATCTGGATACATATTTTTCTTTGCATTTTGTCATTAATGCAGACTTTGAGAGGTGAGAGAACTGTGCTTGGGAGCCAGGAGGTTGAGGCAGATATTGCTGAGTTGTTCAGTGCACATGGAACAAATCAGGAGGCTGTCAGGAAAGGTGGTGGGCTTGCTTCAGTGAACACTGCAGGCTACCACACTGCAGTAAAGTAGACTGCTGGCTTAAAGGGCCCATGGGCTCTGATGGAAGAACTGCAGTATTCTTTGTACAGGTTAAAAAGAGGCCCCAGTCCAGGCATGGTAGCTCATGCCTGTAATCCCAGCACTTTGCGAGGTCAAGGAGGGCAGATCACTTGAGCCTAGGAGATCCAGACCAGCCTGGGCAACATGGTGAAACCCCCATGTCTACAAAAAATACAAAAAATTACCTGGGTGTGGTGGCACGTGCTCTGGTTTCAGGTACTTGGGAGGCTGAGGTGGGAGGATCACTTGAGCCTGGGATATTGAGACTACAGTGAGCTGTTATCACATCACTGTACTCCAGCCAGGGCAACAGAGTGAGGGGGGAGGAGAGAGAGAAAGAACGAGAGAGAGAGAGAGGATCTAGATACAGTATGGTACAAATAATTGGGTAGATTTCAGTTATGGTTTAGAAACTTGGGCACTAGCTTTGAAAGTTCAAATTGACATATGTTACTCTAAACCTCTCTAAATGAGGTCTTATTAAAATGTGGTCACCAGACAGGATGATCTGAAGTTTTGTGACACTTAATTTTGTTAAGCAGTGAGTGTGACTGGTAGAATTTAAGATTAAGCATGGCACTATTATATGCCATACTTATATTATAGGCTTGACTATACTACTTTTATTGAACTCTTAGTCTTAACTTTGGCATCACAGAGCTGGGGTCCAATGCAGATTTTTTTCTGGTAAAATTTGGGCAAGTCATTTAATTCTTTGTGTCTGTTTTCTTCTGTGTAAGAAAATAGGGATAAAAGTAGTACCTCCATTGTAGGTAGTGGTGTGCTACAGATAAATCTTACCAGCTCATGAAGGCCTATTGTGTATATCTCCCAGCTCCATGCTCAGTGATGCCATTGGGTAGCTTGAAATCTATGAAATATGAAGTATTTACACCACAGAAATTGGCAACCATGTCAGACCAGGCAGTTTTTCTCTCCCAGAGAACCAGTTGTTAAACATTTCTCAACATGATTCAACTTATGGGATTGCTGCAAAAATTAAATGAGGTAATGAATGCAGAGGGTTTAAGGTATTGTATAGCAAATGCACTAAACATATATGTGCATTTGCACAGATTTTTATCAGACAACTTTTGCTTTACATTGTTACTTTATTTTAAAAGTTTACTTTTTGCAGGGAACACAACATTTTAAGTCTTTTCAGCTTCTTGTTTTTCTGGGGTTTCCACCATCTCCACTCCCACCTTTGTAATAGGAGCAAAATTGCTTTTATTATTGTGATCCTGCCCCCTGACTAGAAGGAATAGTCTGGCTGGTTCCCTGAATGGAAGAGATAATATATGCTTGGGAGTGATTGGCAGGGACTACTTTCCAGCACGAAGACTGGAAAATAAAGGACATCTATCTGTAGCAACAGAAAGGATGATTCAGATGAAAAGCAGAGGACAGAAATACTTGGAAGTATCCTGAGTCCCCCATAGCTTTCCTCTCCCTGATTCTAATCTCATGTGAAGCCTGGTTGTATCTCTGCATTTCGATTCCATGAATCGAGTTTTATTTTCATATTTGTCAGAGTAAGCACTCAATACATATTTGTTCTCATTTTTGCTTAAACTAGTATGTGCTGATTTCCTCTATACCCCAAACAATTTTATTTTTGTTTTCATTTTTTTGAGACTGAGTCTCGCTCTATTATCCAGGCTGGAGTGCAGTGGGAGATCTCAGCCCACTGCAACCTCCACCTCCCAGGCAAAAGTGATCCTCCCGCCTTGGCCTCCTGAGCGGCTGGGACTACAGGCTCGAGCTACCATGCCTGGCTAATTTTTGTATTTCTTTTTCTTTTTTATAAAGACAGAATCTTGCTGTGTTGCCCAGGCTGGTCTCAAATTCCTGGTCTCAAGCAATCCTCCCACCTCAGCCTCCCAAGCAGTTGGGACTGCAGGTGCAAACCACCATGTCTGGCTAATTTTTCTATTTTTTTGTAGAGGCAGCGTTTCACCATATTGCCCAGGCTGGTCTCAAACTCCTAGGCTCAAGCAATCCACCTGCCTCAGCCTCCCAAAGTGCTGAGATTACAGGCATGAAACATTGTGCTCTGCCTACCCTAAAGACTTCTGCAAAAGCATGTGGAGCCTATACTTTGTCAAAATCTCAGTTATTAATGCCTAGGAAAGCCAGCTCCACTGTCTATCACTTAAGACTCCAGTCTTCATCTGCCTCAGTATAGGTACAATTAGTATAGTATAGAAAAAGCCATCTCCTGTGTGCTCTAAATGTCTCAGTTATCTGTTTTTTTTAAATAGGCAGTAAAAGGACTTTCTGGTTTATGTGTGTGTGTGTGTGTGTGTGTGTGTGTGTGTATGTGTGCTTACAGGAGAATTTTAGAAAGGGAGTGAGAGAGAGAGAGAAAAGTGACACAGTTCAAATATAAAATGATGGCCTGGCATGGTGGCTCACACCTATAATCCCAGCACTTTGGGAGGCTGAGGTGAGAGGATCACTTGAGGTCAGGAGTTCGAGACCAGCCTGGCCAACACGGTGAAACTCTGTTTCTACTAAAAATAGAAAAATTAACCAGGTGTGGTGGTGTGCACCTGTGATCCTAGCTATGCCAGAGGCTGAGGCAGGAGAATCCTTGAACCTGGTAGGTGGAGGTTGCTGAGCTGAGATCATGCCACTGTACTCCAGGCTGGGCAACAGAGCAAGACTCTATCTCAAAAAAAAAAAAAAAAGATGAATTGGTGAAGAACTTTGAACCATAAAAAATGGCTGAATGGATGGAGGCTTTCGTGTATTCAAAGTATACAAGGGCATTATGACATTTATTTGTTCCTTGATCACTGGGAAGAATTTCATCTTTGCTAATCTCTGGAAAATCTTAACAAGCTAGTATTACTTAGCTGTGCAGGACCTCTCTTGTGAAGGTCATAAAAACACTGCCCAAGGAATGTGGTCAGAGAAAGTGGGAATGCCAAGTTGGAGAATGGAAATGACACAATCTTTGATATTGCAACAATTTTTAGCAATTGTGCAGTGAGATTGCATTTGGATATTCAATCAGTAAAGCATTAGGAAAGAGACCAGTAGAACACTACAGTATTTACTGGAAATAAAAACACAAACACATTTTCTCTTTCCTTTTAAAATGTCACACGTATATTTTGTCTTGGAGATCAGCTTACATTAATTCTTGAATCTTGGCTTCCAATATTTTAGCATCAGCTCCACAAAATTCAAAAATCTGTTGAAAAAATGCACAAAGGTGAAACATTTATTGATTTGAGGTACTGCAAAAATGTTGAGGCTCTAAGGAATTTTATTCCTGATTGAAAAGTTAATCCTACCTATTTCCATCATCTGCAAGACACTTGAAATATAAATACACATTAAACACATTAAATTCATAATATTTTAATATTTGGCATCCTTTCAAAATTACTTATGCTAAAAAAACTTTGCCAGATCTCTGTAATTCTCCATATTATTTCTTTAATCTAAGATCTAAAACATAGAATGATGCTGGAAATAAACTCCATCATTGCAACTTCTCAGAGCTCTTATACATTGGTATTAAGGATTTGTTAATTCATATACACAATCTCCTGAAATCAAACAGCTTGGGATTTCTCATTCCCTGGACTTCTCCCTAGTTAAGAGTATTATAATTACTTGATTCTAAGAAGCACATGTTCTTTTCTTCTTCTTTTTTTCTTTTGAGACAGAGTTTTGTTCTCGTTGCCCAGGCTGGAGTGCAATGGTGTGATCTTGGCTCACTGCAGCCTCTGCCTGCCAGGTTCAAGTGATTCTCCTGCCTCAGCCTCTCAAGTAGCCAGGATTACAGGCACCTGCCACCACACATGGCTAATTTTTTGTATTTTTAGTAGAGACGGGGTTTCTCCATGTTGGTCAGGCTGGTCTTGAACTCCCGACCTCAGGTGATCGGCCCACCTTGGCCTCCCAAAGTGCTGGGATTATAGGTGTGAGCCACCGGGCCCTGCCCCACACATGTTCTTTTCAAATGTTCATATCTCTGAATGTGAATGCATTTCACAGTGGACGGCATGTTGTATTTCACTTGAAAACTTTTTAGTGGTATATAAATAATAATGCATCTTTCATGAGTGTGTTATGTTTGATGAAATATGGAAGTCAAAGACTTTAATGCTAAATACATTAGGTGATTGAAGACAAGGAAGAGTATGAGGTTGGGACTGGGTGAAAACTTGAGTTTCCAGTAAGGAGGCGGCAACAGGAATGGCATTAGGACTTTGGGGCAGGGTCTGTAAAAGTCTAGAATTAACTTCAGTGCCCAGTGTGCTTCAGGGAGAAACCGTCCCTACATCTAAGGCTTCCACTTCTCCAGGCAGCAGCATTCTGTTTGAGTGTTTCATTATATTTATTCCTTCAAAGTAAACCCCAGATTTGCAGCTCTACCTTGATCCCATTTCACTTACCGGGTTGCTCATGACTCCACTTCTGTAACAGCAAATTATTCTTCTGATTCTTGAGAATAGGGTTACCTAAGTGTGGGTACAGAATTTCATGATTTAGCTGAGCTGCCTGGTTTGTAACCATCTCCCTTATAACTAGTTCTTTTGGCCTTGGCCAGGGGAGGAAGGTGTGAGAAAGGATCTGCGAAAGTTTCTGTTTGCTAAGACTTAGGTGGCAGCTGGATGGTGGTTCTGGAGCATGAAGGGAGTTTCATAATCCTCTGAGAAATCTGAGGTCAGAGCTGGTGTAGAAATAAGAATTCCTGGTGGGAACATAGGCAGGGCTTGGCTACCTGAATGACCAGACTTGGCAGGAAGCATGATACATTCATTTTCCCTGGTTTTGGACTTTTAAAGATGGAAGGCCGGGTGTAGTGGCTCATGCTTGTAATCTGAGCACCTTGGAAGGCTGAGGCGGGTGGATCACTTGAGGTCAGGAGTTTGAAACCAGCCTGGTTAACATGGCAAAACCCCTAAAAATCTCTACTAAAAATACAAAAATTAGCCAGGTTGTGCACACCTGTAATCACAGCTACTCGGGAGGCTGAGGTATGAGAATTGTTTGGACCCAGGAGGTGGAGGGTGAAGTGAGCCATGATCACACCACTGCATTCTAGCCTGGGTGACAGAGTGAGATTCTGTCTCAAAAAAAGTTGGGGGGGTGTGGAATATGGTGCACTGATTTACATGTAGTTTTCTGTGTCTGGCATCTATCACTCAATATGATGTTTATAAGACTTATCTGGATAGTGGAACTACAGTTACTTTTCAGTGTTTCTTGGTATTCCATTGCATGAATATAACACAGTTTATCCATTTTAGCTATGAAAAGTCGTTCTACTGTGGATGTTCTTGTCCATATCTTTGTAGGAACATCTTTGGGGATACATAAGCACTAATTTCTGTTGTATATCCAAAAGTGGGATTGTGGGTTCTGCTTCAGTAGAAGGTATCCAACAGTTTCTGAAATTATACTGCATATGTTTTTCTTTCCTTCTTTCTTTTTCTCTTTTTTCTTTCCCCTTCCTCCCTCCCTTTTTCCCTCTTTCTTTTCTTTCTTTCTTTTTTTCATAGTCTCTCTCTGTCGCCCAGTCTGGAGTGCCAAGGTCTCAGCTCACTGCAACCTCCACCTCCTGGATTCAAGTGATTCTCCCACCTCAGCCTCCTGCCATCACTCCTGGTTAATTTTTATATTTTAGTAGAGATGGGGTTTCACCATTTGGCCAGACTGGTCTCAAACTCCTGGCCTCAAGTGATCTGCTCACCTCAGGCTCCCAAAGTGCTGGGATTATAGGCATGAACCACCACGCCCGGCCTGCATATATTTTCAATTTATACTCTACCAGCAGAGGATGAGTGTTCTAGTTCCAGCTCTGCAGCCTTGACAACACTTGATGTTGCCAGTCTTTTTCATGTTAACAATTCTGATGGCTTTACGTGAAAAGTTCACTACTAAATTTCACGTTTTACCTTGGTCAGCTTTCACCTGACTTTAGAAATGGCTGCATAACTTGTCTCTCTCAGTCTCCAGCCTTGTGCCACTTAGGTCCTTTCTCACTCCTGAAGCTCTTAACCACAAATCCAGGCATGCCATCCTTCTTTTTAAACATCTTCGGTTTTCCCCCACACAAACCAAGCTTCTTCCAAGGTCTCCCTAGTTTTGTCCTGTCTCCCTCCCTGTTGCTTCTTGCCATAAACCCTGAACTTGGATCATTTTGTTCATTTAACAAATACTCTTTAAGTGCCTACTATAAGCCACACTTACTGTGAACAAAACTGACAAAATCCTCTCATGAGCTCATCTACTAGTGTGGGTAATCCCCTTTCTGGGTACCAAGGAAGGAGGCTAAGCAGACCCCTGGCACAGTGGGTGAAGAATAACTTACTGTGCATTTATTTCCTTTTATATAATCCTTTTATATAATCATATCTTAGTCTGTAGTCAGAGGAGTGTCAAGAGCAGACACAGTATGGAGCATGTACTAGGGAAAAAAACAGCCATACCAGGACAGAAGTCAAGGGCCCAGGTGGTAGTACCCCTCCCTGAAAGGGCATGTGCTATGTGGCAGGCTGGCCCAAGTGGCAGTGTTTAGTATTGTAAAGATACCCACTGTATGGCAGGCTTGGAGCAAGAGTCACTCCTCCTGTAAGGGAGTTGTAGTATCTTGGGTCCAGTTCTTGTGGAAAGCTGGCCTCTGGTTGGCAATCCAGCAAACATCCAAGGGCTTAAAACCCCTCCGGTGTAATCACGCATAGGTGGCTGTATACCCCATTGGCTCTCTTGCTACTGTGCTGATGACTCAAAGACTACTCCCATAGAAATCCTTAGAAGTTGCCTGCCCCTAGATAAGAGATGGTGCACACTGCACCCTCTTCACTGTGCACTGCCCACCTCCTTGCCTCAGTGACCTAATGGGAGGGGACTCTTGCTTATCATTCATGTGGTTGTCTTGACCCTATCACTATCCTTAAGATGACCTCACTCGTGACCCTTCCCCCTAACCTATACCTAATAAATACAGATGTGCCTGGACGCTTGGGGCCTCTCCTGTCTCTGCTTGTGAGTGGCGTTGGTCTCCTAGCCCAGCTGCTTTTATCCAGTCCTTTGATGTCTTGTCTCCTTATTTCTCAGATCCAAGACCTCAGTACAGCGATAGGGGACACCCCACCACCCTAGTAGGGCTGGACTCTACATGCTAGGGATAACTTTTTACTATTATTATTCAAATACTTTCTGACATATACCCATGTTATTTTATAACTCTACTTCCTGTCATCTTTTTTCACTTGGTAATCTTAACCATCCTTCAAGATGGTTTAAGTAACTCATGAAGACTTCCTTGAACCTTTTCCCTGTGATCTCATAGTACTCTGGGCATCCCAGTGTTAACTAATTTTTGTCATCGATCTTTCCCACTACACCAAGGATGAAGACTGTACCTGAAATTTTTCTCCATTTATTTATTTATTTATTTTACAGATGGGGTCTCACTCTGCCACCCAGGCTAGAGTGCAGTGATAGAATCATAGATCATTGCAGCCTTGAAACCCAGGGCTGAAGTGATCCTCCCACCTCAGCCTCCTGAATAACTAGGACTACAAGCATACACCAATACACTGGCCGTTTTTTTAAAATTTTTTGTAAAGACCTCTTACCCAGGCTGGTCTCAAACTTCTGGCCCCAAACAATCCTCCAGCCTTGCCTCGCAAAATGCTAGGATTACAGGCATAAATTACAGTGCCTGGCCTTATAGTTTTAGTATCTAATCTGGTACCTTACACAGAGTAGGTGTACCATTGATGACTGTAGGTCTGTACTGAGCTAAGTTTCAGCGACTAGGTATTACCTTTCTTATACTTTGTCTTGTTTGCCAAAGGGAAATGTTACATTCAAGTCTCCCTATCCAGCATTGGGCTTTGCATATAGGAACTTAATAGATGAAGTTAATGGATAAGGAGCAACTTACTGATAAGAGATTATTTCACAGGTAGCTTTCTTTTGAAGAAAGATGTATGTAATTTCTGCCCAAAAGTGTTGTGAGAGGAAAACAAATCTTGAGGCCCCCAAATCACTAAGCTAAAGGGAAAAGGCAAGCTGGGAACTGCTTAGGGCAAACCTGCCTCCTATTCTTTTCAAAGTCACCTCTCTGCTCCCTGACATAAATGCATATCTGATTGTCTCCTTTGGAAAGGATAATCAGAAGCTCAAAAGAATGCAACCATTTATCTTTTATCTACCTATGACCTGGAAGACCCCTCCCAGCTTCAAGTTGTACCACCTTTCTGGACTGAACCCATGTTCATGTTATATATGTTGATTGATGTCTCCTATCTCCCTAAAATACATAAAACCAAGCTATGTTCTAACTACCTCGGGTACATGTCATTGGAACCTCCCAAGGTTGTGTCACAGGCACACATTCTCAACCTTGACAAAATAAACTTTCTAAATTAACTGAGACCTGTCTCAGACGTTTGGGGTTCACATTTGGCAACCACAAAGGGATTCTGAGTGAAGGTACCCCTGACCTTTGGCAAATCTCCTATTGGTGCTTGGTACCATCGTGAGCTAACTTTATGGCTCAAACCAATAGGACAATTTGCTGAGGTCTGGGCTCACCCTACTCCAGAGAATCCCTGATCTCCCCAAATTTGGTCAAGATCTATTTTGCTGCACAATTCCCTTTTTTGGAGTTTTACTTGCTTCCAACAAGGCAGGCAGCATTTCCTGCTTTCACAATGATGGAAGGCAGGTAACTCCTCTATAGAGTCTAAGGTTGCTCCCAACAGTGAAATCCGTTTGATTTTTTTCCTGCTTCTTCAGCCCAAAGCTCATCCCTAGGTAAGTAGCTGAACTGGCATTTTGTCTTGGCTGCAGTTAACAACCAGCTGGTTTTAATTTCTCCTTACCATTAGAGTGCTCAGAGATCACATTGTTGGGTTTTTTTTATTGTTGTTGTTTTTTCTTTTCTTTCTCCCATGAGATTTAACCAACTCTACCCAACTTGGTCAAATCAGAGTGAGAATTCCAAATTATGGGTAACAAGGCCTCTCTAATTGGGCTAAAATTCCTTGTAGCTGCAAAAGAGGAAAAATAAAACAGAAAACCATGTGCTTGGTTTCTGTGTTTGTGTCCTGTCTTTTAAAAAAAAGTTCTTCTGTGTACTTTTCTTTTACCATATAACTCCTTCTCCTTTGCCACATACAGTACCAAAAAAATCTAGAGAAGGCTTCTAATGACTTGAACCCCTTTAAAGAATTCAGAACAAAGGTGCCATTCACCCCTTTTGGGGTGTTCTGTTTTCTTTGTAAAGTTTCAAGAGTCATGGGAAGATTCTTCTTAGGTCTAAAGCTCTGTTTTCCTGTATTGCATGACCTGACCTCCTTGGCTTTGGGGTAAGAAATGATCTTGTACTGTGAGAGGTTTTGACTGTAGTGTGTGTAATGGCAAATGAGAACTACAGAGTTAGGGAAAGCACAGTTTATAGGAAGTGGCCTTGACTGTTATTTAATTTTTTTCTCCTACGAAGTTGTTGTTTAAGGATCCTAATTCTAGTTCAGATAGGCATTCTAAAGGGTCTTCTCCATTGCTTTTTCTCCCAAAATTAATCTTGATTTGGCTTGTCTGTGTGCATTTGCTGTTACCTATGAAAACTTGTTATAAGAGACTGAATTTTCTTAGCTCTGAAGAGAAACCTTTGCTCTTCCTAGCTGAAATGTGCCCCTAGGGGGACCAGGAGCCTTGTGGGAGTGTCTGGGGGGTTGACCTCTACAGAGAAATTCTTAACAAAAATTAAATTAATTAATTAATTTATTTTCATGGAGATGGAGTCTTCCTCTGTCATCCAGGCTGGAGTGCAGTGGCACAATCTCAACTCACTGCAACCTGTTCCTCCCATGTTCAAGCAATTCTCCTGCCTCAGCCTCCCTAGTAGCTGGAATTATAGGCATGCACCACCATGCCTGGCTAATTGTTTTTGTATTTTTAGTAGAGACGGGATTTCATCATTTTGGCCAGGCTCGTCTTGAACTCCTGACCTCAGCAGATCCCAAATCGGCCTCCCAAGGTGCTGGGATTACAGGCGTGAGATACAGTTCCTGGACTAAAAATTAATTTTTAAAAAGGCTCATCCAGGAAATGCATATAAGGGCTGATTACTGAGTGTTTTGAGCCCTTTCAGAGATAATATAACTCTGGAGAAACTGAGGCATGTAAGAGGGTAGAAACAACTCAGTGGTGACACACCATGGAGTCCTGCTTACAAGCAGCACACATCAATTTGTCACCCAAAACCCTAGGCCACAGCTCAGTTTCTTTTATTAAGAAAAAAAAGTAGGAAACCAATAATCTAAGAATGAGGAGAAAATAAGGAGAATGACTCCCCTTTCAAGCACTCCATAGATTTTATGGCACCTCTACTTGCCAGAGTTTATGTAAAATAAAATATGGTCTTTGTGCACATTTACATTAAGGAAAAAAGAACCCTAGGGTCCATTTGCAAACTATAGAGTTTCTAAGTTATAGGATCTTTGTGCATGTGTGTGTGTGTGTGCGTGTGTGTGTCTGTGTGTGTGTGTTCCTGTGTATATCTGAAAGGACTTTATAATTTATTTAGTTTTTTGTTTAATTGGCAATTAAATCCATTTTAATTTCCCTCTAGCACACCAGATATTTTTTCTCCATACTTTATGATGTAAATTTTGCTGATTTTCACCTGAATTGTTTTCTTTAATATGCAAATTTAAGGCTATTTACAGATATATGTGTAAGAAAGCTTAAAGATGAATAATTTTGTATGAGAAAGAATCTTGTATGGTAAATTTAATCCTATAATTTTATATGAGACATAATTTTATAAATAATTTAGTATAAAAGCTTAACGATAAATAATTTTATATGAAAAGAATCTTGTATGGTAAATTTAATCCTAGAATAACATGACTGGTTAAGAAAGAGGGATGTTCAGGACAAACCAGAAAGTCCAAGCATGTCATGAATGGTCTGTGTAAGACACAATAAGATAATTTAAAAAATAAGAATAAAAACTTTTATATGATCAAGTTGTTTACAATTAAAGGGAAATTATAATGGTCTTTCTAGAGTTTGGATTTGATGTAAAAAACGCTTATACACTAAATAATTGGTTAGAACGATGAAATTTTCTTAAGGGATTGATTTCCTCTTGATATTTAAAATGTTTTTAACTCAAAGTTCAACTTTTATTGCACCTCACTGTTTTTGTTTTCTTCTCCCTTTTTAAAGGGCACAATAAAGTAAGCGCTCCTTCAACTCATTTTCAGCTCATGTAAGTTTCTTTTTCCCTTGAGTTCTATTTGTTGTGGTCTGATGTCAACAATGTTTTCTTAAAGAGTTAAAGGAAATATTTTCTTCCAACATAATATTCTGTGCCATGGAGATGGTCTTTTGTTTTGTCCTTTGGTAACTGGCCTAACAGATTTTATGTTTCACTGAAACAATTCCTATGTCATTATTATTAAGCTTTTGTTTGTTTAGAAAAAACCGAAATAAAAAAAAATTTAAATTAAGATTGCGAAATCCATGTATCTTCATATCTTTCTGTATGTGCTTTTAAAGTCCTTGTGATATTGAGTTATAGAGCTTTGATTCCTGGGTCTAAAAAGGACACCAAGTCCTGCTAAATCTTAAACACTGACATTAATTAAAGTCTCATCTTCAGGTCTGGTAGAAGATGCCAATCAAAATAAACTACATTTCTGAGACACAGGGCCAAAAGTTAAAGCTATTCAATTCCTCAAGGTCCAGAAACTATCATAAAAGAGGTGGGCATATGAGATTGTAAGGGCCAATTTTGAGAAATAAAATAAGTTCAGCTTCCCTATAAATTAATCACCGATGTCAAAGGCACACTGATACAAGACCTGCATATGGGTCCCAGTGTCATATTAACACTATCTGTTGTTCTTCTGTTTGTTGTTGTTTTTCTCCCCTCCTCCTATTTTCTTTTCATAGGATGTGAGACTTCACAAGCTGCTAAAAATGAGCTTTTCTAATAACTTGGTACCTACCTATCTAGGAATAAACCATCTTAGCCATGAGAGATCAGATGAAAGCTGAGACCAGACTCATTTCCTTCTAAAATGCTTTCTCCAAAAGATTTTTAAATAGAAAAGGGGGTAAATGTGAAAGGAAAATAAATCTTGGGACCCCAAAATCTCTAAGCTAAAGGGAAAAGTCAAGCTGGGAACTTCTTAGGGCAAATCTGTCTCCCATTCTATTCAAAGTTAGTCCTCTGCTCACTGAGATAAATGCATATCTGATTGCCTCCTTTGGAAAGGCTAATCAGAAACTCAAAGAATGCAACCATTTCTCTTTTATCTACCTGTGACCTGGAAGCCCCCTCTCCACTTTGAGTTGTCCCACCTTTCTGGACTGAACCAATGTTCATTTACTTATGTTGATTGATGTCTCATGTCTCCCTAACATGTATAAAACTAAGCTGTGCTCTGACCACCTGGGCACATGTCATCAGGACTCCTGAGGATGTATCATGGATCAGTGTCTTCAACCTTGGCAAAGTAAACTTTCTAAATTAACTGAGACCTGTCTCAGATATTCAAGGTTCACAGTGTTTTCTCATTTTATTCTGATGCTGGGTTATGCCTCTCAAAGGCATGTTCCACTCTGAAGTATTAAGGGAGCAAGTTTATTTCTCTTTCCTCAATGCCTTCATTTCTCATGTACTGCTGCAACCCTAGTAATAACTGCTAATGAAAATTATAACCTCTGGTTTGCTGAGATCAAGAGAATGAGATAGAATCTTGCTCTGTCACTCAGCCTGGAGTGCAGTGGTACAATCTTGGCTCACTGCAACCTCCGGTTCCTGGGTCCAAGTGATTCTTCTTCCTTGGTCTCCCAAGTAGCTGGGATTATAGATATGTGACACCACACAGGCTATTTTTTGTATTTTTAGAAGAGAGGGGGTTTCACAATGTTGGCTAGGCTGGTCTCGAACTCCTAACCTCAAGTGATCTGCCTGCGTTGGCCTTCCAAAGTGCTGAGATTACAGGTGTGAGCCACTGTGCCTGGCCAGTACAGTATAATTTTTGTGATTTATAATGATATTATATTCTCATTTTTAAAAGAGAATATATAATAATATAATAAAATGATATTATATAAATGTTTTATAATATTTTATCATTAAATATATCATTTAATAAATGATATTATATTCTCATTTAAAGCATTAAATGGCATGAATAAGATGAAAATAATATGTCTAATAGAAATGTTTAAAATTCCTTCACATTCCATGGAGAAGTGGGCAACATTAATTACTGTTTGATCCTATCTGGGCCCCTTTCTCTGACTCCTCCACACCCATCTCTTCCCAGAGCCATCTGCATCTTGTTGCAGGTATTGGAACACTTCCCCTTTGACTTTCACAAGATTCAAGGCAGGTTTTGCAATTGCAAGGGCTCAATTAAAGTTTTCGAAGGAGCTAAATCAAAAGGAAGCAGCTTGAATTTATATGCACTCGAATTCAAGAACAAAAGCCTATAAAAACAGTGTTAATTTCTTTTCTCATCTATACTGGCCTTCTTCTCAACTTATTCTAATAGTGTGGTATCGGCAAAATACAAGTTTACTTTCATTTCCTTGTAGCAGATTTAGAAACTCTGCTTACAGATCTGATTCTTTGAGCATTGGTGGCATAAATAATGCAAGAGTGCTTTTCTTTTGTTTTAGGGTTCGACAAGCTTTTTTCTGTAAATGTCAGATAATACCAATTTTAGGCTTTGCAGACCACATGATCTCTGTTGCAACAACTCAAATTTGCTGTTGTAATGCTACAGCAGCTAGTGACAATTCATAAACAAATGGGCATGGCTGTGTTGCAGTGAAAGTTTATTTACAAAAACAAGTGGAGGCTGAGATTTGGCCCTTGTACTATTCACCAACTTTTATACTGTGACATTGACTGAAGTTGCTGAGGCTTCACGTAACTGCCTAAGAGTTAGATACTCAGTACAATGTGGTTTTCTGTGGAAAGGCAAAAGGGTGTGCATCTAATGTTGTGGGAATTCATCTCAAGCCACACCTTAAACAGGAAAAGTGATTTTGGACTCTGACCAGAGGAGATGTCATTTTCCCATTACTGGAAGTGTGGGATGGAACTTTATTCTCAGAGATAAACATGATTTGGGGGCCATTACCTTCATACACTTGTTCTCATGTTTCCACCAGAAAATCTGCTCAAATGCCCAGTATTGAGAAAATATTCATTTCCTATATCCCTTCACTTACTTCTCCCCAAGTTTAGAGGTGAGCTATCTGTTAAGCTGACACAAAGGAATGAGCTCGTGCCTATCCTCTCTTTTTGGGGATGCTCTGCTCAAGGGACAGGTATGCTGTCTTCACATTGTCTTTCTGAAAAATACATGGGAAATGGGCCCAAACCTGCCCAGATAGATCTGGAAGGCCATCACCCTCTATTCTCATTTTTGGGGTTTGATAGTTGTGCAAAGCAATAATACCTCTTTTACCTGTGCAGGTAAATTTCTTCTCTACAGCCCCAGATTCTCCCACAGATGGGCCACCTCAAGATCTAGGCTTTAAGGGAATAGTAGGGAGTCTGCTGACATAGTTCCTAGCCACATTCTTCAATGAGCACAGTTTAACATCATGACTACTTATAATAAAGGTGATATTGTGATTAGCCACATGAGTCCTTGGGAGAAAAGAGTGAATGTAGCAGCTCTGGTTGTTCTTGTGTGTCTCCAAGAGAACTATGTTTGACCCTTCACCACTCCCCAGAAATGTGTCCCTTCAAGTGTTCTTTGTGTTAGTGATTGACAGCTTTGTTGTATATTGCTGGAGTGATGGACCATGCCATGCTGGCGTGTCAAGTTGCTTTGTATAAACATCAATATTGATGAAATGCCCCTGGTTTTGTTGTTGGAATTCTGAGTTTCTACTGCCATGGCCTGTTGTGTAGCAATGTTTTCACAAGACATGTGTATGTGACAACTACCTGCCTACTTCCACAAAGACCTCAGTCCCTGAGCTTAAATGGTGTCCCTAAGTAGGGCCATACCACACAGGTACCTGAAGTTTATTGCTAGAGAAAGAGCACTCCTATGTGTCTGACAAGGAAAAATAGCAGAAGTCTCTGCTGAACCTTTCTGGACATCATCAATGTGTATCTTTTTTTTCCTGCTGCTTTTACTCTGTATTCTTTGCTGTACTAAATCTTAGCTATGAATATAACTTGCGACTGAGTCTTGTAAGTCCTCCTGGTGAATCACCAGACAAATCACTCCTATATTTCAACAACTTAAAATTCAGAGGCAAAGAGCAGGGCAGAGACTGGGGTAAAAATTTTAAAGCATAGATCCCAAAACCTCAGTAATCAAGATAAATATTATTTTAATAAGTATTAAAGTATTAAAACCCAATGCAAAAAAATACATGATGAACAAAATATAAAAAATTTAAATAAAGGTAAGATTTGATCCTACACTTGCCATATCCTGGCTTGCTTGCCTAATCCCTACCCTGAAGAAGAGACACACATGGGCCTTCCAGTTGTCAATGCCAAGAGCAATGTCTTTAGTAATGGTGCTAAAGGTTGCTAGATGTTTCTAAATAGTTACCATACCTTGCCCACTTTTGTTCCATCTCACTTAGTTTTTGCCCCCCTCTAGTCAATCTCTGCCAGTGTATCCATTGTTTATGGAGCTGATAGGAATGGCTCTTAGGGATCTGCACCCTTCAGAGTCCTGAAAACCACGTGAGAGGTTTCTTTTTTTTTTTTTTCTCATGCAGAATACTTCTGTGTGTAACACAATCCTTAATAGGTTAAATATTATTGGGTAGGCAACTCCTGAATGCTAAGATGACTTGGCTTAAATGGATGTTGTAGTTATTCAAAGAGCCTTAGAGATCTCGCATATACTTTATTTCTACATTTCTATTTGTTTATATATTTTCAGAGAGATGGGTGTGCACAGCTAGATTCTGGGACTCTAATTATAGCTACATCCTCTAGTATTTACCAAAACCAGTGCTAGGCACTTTAGACAGAATATTACAAATTTGCCTGTCAATCATTTAAAGATAGGTGGTGTTCCCTTTTCACAAGCAAACTAAGCCTCAGGATGGTTATGCACATTGCCAATGTCACCCATTAATGAGGCAGACATGGGGCTCAACCCACAGTTGTCTGATTCTACAAATGGCAGAAAATTGCTGAAGATACTCTTTTGGGAGATGGATCAAATACTGTTTTATGAAGTTGAACAGGGACAATTTGGGAATATGATTCTCCAGGTACCAACATCTTCCTTGAAAGTATTATTTCACCTTATTGTCCCTACCTGGCCCTTGAAGACATAGAGTGCTTCCAATCTTGTTCTCTTTCTAGCATACCATGATACCACCCACTTGAGATTCTTTTAATTCTGTACCCACTTTAAGGAGTGTGCTGTTGAAGTGGCTTTCATAATCTTAGCAAGAGCCCTTCAGTTCATAAACATAAGGGCACAAGCTTCCTCTCACTGAATATGATAGCTCAGTCTAGCAGATGGGTTCTTCTGAATTATTAATTTGTGACTAATTTGCTTAGTAGCCTCTATGTACTTATATTCCATCTCTCTTGTGAGTGAACCTAAGGGTTTTGGGAAACTATTTTATTCTATAATCAAAGAATGAAAAGATGGAACCAACTTTTATAGTTGGCTTATATTTAAGCAGTTGCCCCAAACATGCTAATTCTTGGTTTCTCTTTCCTTACTCCATAGACATATACCAATCATGAGTGACGTGCTTTGGCTGTGTGCCCACCCAATCTCATCTTGAATTGTAGCCCCCATAATTCCCATGTGTCATGGGAGGGACCTGGTGGGAGGTAATTGAATCATGGGGACGGTCTTTCCTGTGCTGTTTTTGTGAATAAGTCTTGTGAGATCTGATGGTTCTATAAAGGGGGTTCCCCTGCACATACCCTCTTGCCTGCCATCATGTAAGACATCCCTTTGCTTCTCCTTTGCCTTCTGCCATGATTGTGAGGCCTTCCTGGCCATGTGGAACTGTGAGTCAATTAAACCTCTTTATAAATTATCCAGTCTCTGGTATGTCTTTATTAGCAGCATGAGAATGGATTAATACAATGGAACTAGAACCAAAATTATTCACCAGTGGATCAGGGGATCCACTGATAGGCTTCAGAGGGTCACTGAATGTCCTAGTATTATCTGCACATTTTAGTTATGTGCATATGTTCTTTTGTCTGGAGGGAGAGAGTTCATAGCCTTTATTAGATTTTAAGAGGGTCTATAAATCCAATTTATGAACAACTTACAAGAGAAATCAGTTTAATATTTGGTTACAAAAACCAGTAAAGGTTTTGGGTCCCCCATCTGGAAGAAACCACAGGAATTATTTTATCTACCACAATTAATCTTCCTGAAACATGGTGTGATGTCCTAGACGAAAACACTAAGGAATAGAGAAGAAAGGAACAAGCTCCCCGTATTTATTACTTGGAATTTGCTTAGGCTCTCTTTTGCCCTAAGACTATGACATCACTTCAGCCACTGCTTATATTGCATCCCTGCCAGATGTGCATTCAATCTCTGCATGAAAACTTCAGCAACCAGGGAATGCCCACAGTCTACCATGACCCTAGGTTATTGTATATAGCTTCATTTGTTTTAATTTTTTCAAGTTTTATTTTATTAATGTTTTATATACTTTGAAAATAATTGAAATGAGCTAGAATCAAGGGCAAGAAAAAATAATGAAACATTCAAGGATGTTACAGTGTGGCAGTGGCTGATAGGGAGTGCCAGGAAACTGCTTGTAAGGGAGATTACTGTGTCTGAGCAGAGGAGGCACTCCTGAGATTCTTGGCAGCAATGACAAAAAGAGAAGCCCAAGGGATTCCCTAACTTTTCTGATCCAATGCAGAGAAGACAGCCATGTTTTCAAGGGAGGTGGGTATTCTCCTAACTCTTGTGTTCCTGGAGAAATTATCATAAAGCTTTTTATACAATGTACATTTAAAAGGGCATAATGGACAAGTGGCTCTTTGCCAGATGTTTTACCAGAATTGTAAGACATTTTTTGTAAGTACCCTTAATAGGAACTGGACTCTGGGTTTGATTTTTTAAAATAATAAAAGGCACACAGTACTTAACTGCTTCAATAAGTCAATGTTCAGTTGTGCTATCCCAGATAAAAGAGAGGAGCACATTTATGGAACATCTTTGTGGAGGTGGTCTCAAAAGAGTGCATTTGATTTTTCTTGACCTACCAGGAAAACAGTGGATGTTCATGAACACCTTCCTAGTCAGTTCCACAAAAAAAAAAAAAAAAAAAAAGGAAGGAAATTTATAGGAACATGTCTTTTTGGCTGGCCATCCAAATCTGCCTCCTCTGGTTCTAGAGACTTTCCTTGCAGGTCACTGTGGGGTTGGACCAGCAGAGAGTTTCAGAGCTTTCATGGCTTAACTGAAGCTCTGGAGGCAATAGTAGTGGGGATCTTACTGGCCCTTACAGTGCTGCTCAGATACCAAATCCTGCAGGCTGAGTCACAAGAGGTAAACGGTTTGTAATACCCTCTCTCTAGGATCTCTTCCTCCTTTTTGTGTCTTTTGCACAGAAAATTGATATTTTTTGTTAAATGGAGTCAATATTACAAGTTTTTCTGGTGGTTTTGAATGATTTCTAAATTGATCCAGATATGACTCTGTCAAGAGATATGATTACAATGTACAAAACATTTAGAAGTAGACTCATTTGTATAATGTGACATAAATGGTCTCAAGCTTTTTTTAAACTACATAACCAGGATGCTAAGTTAGTAATATTCAATGAGAAATTCAATCCTCAATAAAACTTCTAGAGACATGAGTATCCACATTATAATTAGAGGCTTGTTCGGTGACCCTGGGATTAGAATATGGGAGTGTAAATCATCTTAATGACAGTGCCATCAATTCAGTTCAATTTGTTTTCTAATAGCTGCCTGGCAGAAAATTCAGATCTGAGATCTTTAGTGATCCCTGGAATGCAGGATCTATCAATTCTCTTGACCATTAGAGACCAGTGAAGATATAATTGTTTATAAGAGTCTTCCCTCCCCAGCTTATTGAGGGCACTTCCATCTCCATACAGAACTGAGACCAAGCAGGGCCATGCCTTTCCTCAAAAGCATAGCTTGGATTGGTTCAAGAGCTTAGATACATAATCAGTTGAGAACTCAGAGTCTTGTGTCATTATAGAATGGAATAAAAACTATTGAGTGGCAGCAGTCACCAAACAGTATCAGTAGCAGAATGAATGAAACAAAAAAATCATATTGAACTGGAGAGAAACTTGCTGTGATCAGATTGGTATCAGGACATAATCAGGAAAGGAGACAGAGCTGGCAGTGGGATGCAGGGAAAAAACAGAAGCATTCATTTCTTCAATCATTCATTCATTTATTTTCTCACTCACTAATTCATCAACACAGGATGAGTATTTTTTATCCACTTGGGATTCTTCTAGACACTGAGCTTTCAAATCAGACATGAGCTCCTTCAGGAACTTGGACTAATATGAGAAAATACATGAAGTTAAGATCTGAGTTAAACAGAAAAAGGCTTGGAGCAGTAGATTGGGTCAAAATTATGGAGGAACTTGGTTGCCAGCCTTAAATACAATGGTTTAGCCTCGATTCTAAGGCAATGGAAGGGGAGAGCATCACATGTTAAAAGAGGGAATGCCATACAGGGAGCTGTGCACAAATATGGAGATGAGAACAGAGCTATGGTGCTAAGTTGAGGGTAGAAAGGGGTGGGCGTGGTGGCTAACACTTGTAATCCAAGCACTTTGGAGGCCAAAGCGGGTGATTCACCTGAGGTTGGGAGTTCAAGACCAGTCTGACCAACATGGTGAAACCCCATCTTTAAAAAAAAAAGAGAGAACAGAGCTATGGTGCTAAATTGAGGGTAGAGAGGGGCATTGCAATTGTCTAAGTAAAAAAGTATTTAGCTGGAACTAGAAGTAGGAATGACATTGCTAAATGAGAGGCATTAAATGGGAAGTGGATTGAACCAAAAACATGTATATCCAGAAAGGATATATTTGAATATATCAGGAGACAAAGAAGCCAGAGAAGAACATAGGGAGGGATCAGAGATAAAGCAAGAAGAGAAGAAAGTTTCCAGAATATAGAATCTCATTAGTTAATGGTGCTTCTTTGTAACCAAGGAATACCAGAATTGAGAAATGGCTATTTAAATTAGGTGCAGGGAGATCCTTGGTGACTTCAAAGAGGATAGATAGATAGATGAGGGAATGAGTGGAAAATGAGAATTGGAAACTGTAAATGTATTCTAGTCTTTTAACAATTACACCATGAAATGAAGGAGAGTAGCCTGGGAGAACACTAGTTGTATTCACTAGATTTTTTTTGGTTGCAAGTGACAGAGAAACCAACCCAAAGTTTACATAACTGAAGAATCTATGGGGATAGTGTAGGCTTCAGGCATGGAAGTATCAGGGTACAGTCAATGCCATTAGTATCTCTTGGCTTGACTCAGTTTTCTTCTGTATGGTAGATTCATTTTCACATTTCATATGGTGACAAGCTGTAGTAGTTTCAGACTCATATCTTCCCAAATTCAAATCCAGTGATATGAAAAGAGAAAATTATTTATCTAGTTGATTAAGCAAAGTCTTGAAATTAGCTCTGGCTTGGCTTGGATTGGCTTGACTAGAGTCAAGGGTCCATTTCTGATGGGGATGTCGTTCACTGGTTGGTGTAGGCCTGGAGATGGATTCCTCAGGAAGCACATGGGATAAGAATGGGAAAGGGCATGGTTCCTTGGAAGAAAATTAGAGTACTATTGATAGAGAATGGAGAATGGATGCTGGGTGTCAAAAAGAAGTGTCTAAACTCCAAGTTTTAAAGAGAGTAATTGATGGATAGAGGCCTGAAGCAGAAAGGAGGGAATACAATCAAGGTGCATGGATGAAATTGATTTTGAAAGGAGGAAGCATTCTCATTTCTGAGATGGCAGTGAAGGAGAAGATAATAAAAGATGGTATGTAGACAATTTGACATCTAAGTGAGGCAAGTTGAGAGTGCATATGTTAAATAACTTTAGTGTTCAAGTAAAAATCCGAATGAGGGAATATGTAGTGTTATTTAAAAATAATTTAAATATCTTATATCAGCTATATTACAGCAAATAATTACAAATAGAACTTGAAAATAAAATTATGCAGCTAACATATCAAATACTTTTATTCTTTATACTGCAGATGTAATCTTTACAAAGCTTAAATATTTTCATTGTTCATCTCCCACTTATGAGTGAGAACATGTGGTGTTCAGTTTTCTGTTCTTGTGTTAGTTTGCTGAGAATGATGGTTTCTAACTTCATCCATGTCCCTGCAAAGGACATGAATTTGTCCTTTTTTATGGCTGCATAGTATTCCATGGTGTATATGTGCCACATTTTCTTTATCCAATCTATCATTGATGGGCATTTGGGTTAGTTCCAAGTCTTTGTTATTGTGAATAGTGCCATGATAAACATACGTGGGCATATGTCTTTATAGTAGAACGACTTATAATCCTTTGGGTATATACCCAGTAATGGGATTGCTGGGTCAAATGGGATTTCTATTTCTAGATCCTTGAGGAATCATCACGATGTCTTCCACAAAGGCTGAACTAATTTACACTCCCACCAGCAGTGGAAATATATCATTTATGACATTGTTTTTACTTGCATCCAGAGTAGATGTATCAAAATTCACTTAGTCTTTTTACTTAAAGACATTGAGATTGCTTTCATTTTTTAAAACTAGAAATAGTGCTACAATTATTATTATATACTTAGCTGTTTATTTTTCTTGAGGGTATTTCTGTAGTAAAAGTTCCCAGGAATAGGGTAATTGTGTAAGAGGGAATAAACATTTTATGTCTCCTATATGTTTGCAAAATCACATTACATAAAGTATGAAAAATTGCCAATGTCCCCTGCCATATAAGAAAGTATTAGTTTCCACCAGGTACGGTGGCACACACCTATAATTCCAGCACTTTGGGAGGCCAGGGTGGGTGGATCATTTGAGGCTAGGAGTTTGAGACCAGCCTGGCCAACATGGTGAAAACCCATCTCTACTAAAAATATAAAAATTAGCTGGGCGTGGTTGTACTAGCCTGTAATCCCAGCTACTTGGGAGGCTGAAGTAGGAAAATAGCTTGAACCTGGGAGGCAGAGGTTGCAGTAAGCCGAGATCACAAGATCACGCTACTGCATTCCAGCCTGGGTGACCTTGCAAAACTCTGTCTCAAAAAAAAAAAAGAAAAAAATCCATTAATATTTTTAAGATAACTAATGTAACACAGTAAGCACTTAAAGCCAGGATGGGTCTAAACACCTGAGTCATGTTAACTCATTTAATTATCACACTGATTCTATGAAGGGGAAATTTATTATGATCCATGTTTTTATAGATGGGGAAACTAAGATATAAACAGATTAAGTACACTACTCAAGTCCCAATAGCTAGGAAGTGCTATGAGCAGTATGTGAACTATGGGAATCTGAATTTCAAGCCTGCATGCTCAACCACTGGGCAATATTGCTTTGTGATAGTTTTTGCTTAGCATTTCCTCAAGTGTTGTTAACAACTTGTATACATTTTGTGAGAATTTCAGAATGTGTTTCTCTGGGAGATTCTTTTTTTTTTTGGGGGGGGAGAATTGTTTTTTTTAATTTTTTTATTTTTTTATTACATTTTAGGTTTTGGGGTACATGTGCAGAACATGCAAGACAGTTGCATAGGTTCACACATGGCAGTGTGTTTTGCTTCCTTTCTCCCCTTCACCCACATTTGGCATTTCTCCCCAGGCTATCCCTCCCCAGCTTCCCCCACCGCTGGCCCTCCCCTTTTCCCCCCAATAGACCCCAGTGTTTAGTACTCCCCTCCCTGTGTCCATGTGTTCTCATTTTTCATCACCCGCCTATGAGTGAGAATATGCAGTATTTCATTTTCTGTTCTTGTGTCAGTTTGCTGAAAATGATGTTCTCCAGATTCATCCATGTCCCTACAAACGACACAAACTCATCATTTCTGATTGCTGCATAATATTCCATGGTGTATATGTGCCACATTTTCCCAATCCAGTCTCTCATCAATGGGCATTTGGGTTGACTCCAGGTCTTTGCTATTGTAAACAGTGCTGCAATGAACATTCGTGTGCATGTGTCCTTATAGTAGAACGATTTATAGTCCTTTGGATATATACCCAGTAATGTGATTGCTGGATCAAATGGAATTTCTATTTCTAAGGCCTTGAGGAATCGCCACACTGTCTTCCACAATGGTTGAACTAATTTACACTCCCACCAACAGTATAAAAGTGTTCCTTTTCCTCCACATCCTCTCCAGCATCTGTTGTCTCCAGATTTTTTAATGATTGCCATTCTAACTGGCGTGAGATGGTATCTCAATGTGGTTTTGATTTGCATCTCTCTGATGACCAGTGATGATGAGCATTTTTTCATATGTTTGTTGGCCTCATATATGTCTTCTTTCGTAAAGTGTCTGTTCATATCCTTTGCCCACTTTTGAATGGGCTTGTTTGTTTTTTTCCTGTAAATCTGTTTGAGTTCTTTGTAAATTCTGGATCTCAGCCCTTTGTCAGATGGGTAAACTGCAAAAATTTTTTCCCATTCTGTTGGTTGCTGATTCACTCTAGTGACTGTTTCTTTTGCCGTGCAGAAGCTGTGGAGTTTCATTAGGTCCCATTTGTCTATTTTGGCTTTTGTTGCCAATGCTTTTGGTGTTTTGTTCATGAAGTCCTTGCCTACTCCTATGTCCTGGATGGTTTTGCCTAAATTTCCTTCTAGGGTTTTTATGGTGCCAGGTCTTATGGTTTTGCCCCAGTATAGAGATAATGGTGGGAAAATTCTTATGGACTTGATACCTCAGATGGTCTGAATGGAGAGATTTATTAATAAGTCATACTTTTTAAAACTCTTCATAAAGATGTATGTAAAGTTCAGAAACTAATAATTATGTTGCTAAGCATTAAAAATAAATGTAGTTATTTCATCCAGCCAGGGTAGACAGGCTTTTTTGAGGGGCTCTGATGGTTCTACCATCTAATTCAACCATGCTGGTTACCATGGAAACTTACCTTCTGGCTTTTCTTGAACATCTGAAATGTGGGTATTCTTCTGATGTGACAAGTTTCAGCTAGCTCCTGGGAAAGAAAAGAAAGGGCATAAAGTTACAATATTGGTGTCCTCTCTCTGTACCAAGTATATTCTTTGGTAACTTCTCAGGAGGTGTGTCTGAAAGTACAAGGAGACCTGACGCTTTACAGACTCTCCTGCTATGAACTTTTCTAACATATCCTTAAAGCCTCTAGGAATGTCACAATGATTGACATGAAACGATTGATAAGAAATGATTGTTACAGCATTCCTTGGCTTTTTCATCCCATAAAACAAGGAGGTGGGTAAGAGATGGAGGACACAACAGAATAGATGCTTAATAGCAAAATGAGCTGCATTAAAGAACCCTGTGAAAGAGGGGCCCCAGTGGAACTCAACATAAAAAATGGCTTATTGCAAAAAATAGAAAAGGGTAAACAAATCTTTATAACTCTACTTGAGACATGGGATGCATCATCATCTAGCATTTTAAGTAAAGCTTACGCATGTTTTTCTTTGAGGTCCTTCACTGCCCATCTTTGTGAAAGATTTGGAGCCAAAAGATAAGAAAATATACCAGTATTCCAATTGTTTTAATCTACTCCAAACTACTTTCAAATGTTAGTTTTTGTTTCTCTTGTTTAGGAGTCAAAAGAAAATTAGTCACCCACAGGATCAACAGAATTGGACATCTCTCTCTCTAATATACCAATCATTTTACTGGCATTAAATCTCTTGCCCTGCCACTGACAGCGCATGTGCATGCGCGCACGCGCGCGTGCACACACACACACACACACATGCATGCACACCTGAACACACACTATATTATAGTTTTTCATGACCACATAAGGGCAACAACTGATATATAAATTACCATTAGACAATTATGCATTTTGTTCTACCTTAAAAGACAATGAGCTATAATAAAAAAGCCAGACAATAGCATAGGTTGGCAAGATGTGGAGAAATCAGAGCTCTCATACATTGCTGGTGAGAATGTAAAATGGTGCAGCTGCTTTAGAAAACAGTTTGTCAGTTTCTCAAAAAGTTAAACCCAGAGTTACCATATTGCCCCAAAATTCCAATCCTGGATATATACCCAAGGGAAATGGAAATTTTGTTTACACAAAAATTTGTACACTAATGTTTATACCATTATTTTTTTTGAGATGGAGTTTCACTCCTGTCACCCAGGCTGGTGTGCAATGGCGTGATCTCGGCTCATTGCAACCTCCATCTCCAGGGTTCAAGTGATTCTCCTGCCTCAGTCTCCCAAGTGGCTGGGATTAGAGGTGTGTGTCACCATGCCTGGCAAGTTTTTGTATTTGTAGTAGAGATGGCGGTTCACCATGTTGTCCAAGCTGGTCTCAAACTCCTGGCTGCAAGCGATTCACCCGTCTGGGGCTCCAAAATTTCTGAGACTACAGGTGTGAGCCACTGTGCCTGTCCTAAGTACTGATACATTCTATAACATGAATGAGCCTTGAAAATGTATGCAGTGAAAGCGGCCAGTGACTAAAGACCACATATTCTATGATTCCCTTTATATGAAATATTCAGAATAAGCAAATCTATAGATAGATTGTGGATTTGTGGTTGCCTAGGTTTGGGGGATGGAGGATGAAGGGAATTGGGTGTAACTATTAAAGTGTATTCTGTTTCTTCTTGGAGTGATGAAAGTGTTCTAAAATTGATTGTAGTGATGATTGTGAAACTCTGTGATCTAGAAAAGATAAAGAGGTAGTCATCCTAGCTGTGTATTCTGAATCTGTAGGTTATGATTCATCCTAAAGGGCAACTAAATCTAAACACTTACACTTTAATGAAGCTTGACAGAAATGGAGAAAGGGAATTTCTATTATGCTCTAGGCACCATGCCATATATTTAATGTATTTTATCTTCTGTTAAGTGTTATTATCCTGTTAAGAAACTGAAATTTATGGAGGTTGAACTATAATAGGTCACAAAATCATTTAAGGTCAGAATGGTAGATGTCATTTTTTTCATTCTCAAGATCAAATGCATTCTAACATGTGGATAGTCCATCTGTTGTTACCTTTTATCATTATAAATTAACAAATATTAAAAATAATAATTTGTAGAGACATTGTGTGTATTAACAAGACACATTTTGTTTGAGGTTGTGGGGTTATTTTTTGAGGGAATGGGATGAGGAAGGATGGCTTCAGAGACAGGAAGAAGGGATTTCTGGGAATTTCTTGTGATGCTTCCAACACACACACAAAAAGCATAAGATACAGCAAGAGGAAAGCGAAATACACTAAGCTGTCTGTAATGCACTGAGTTAGGTTCTAGAAATTGATTAACAATCTATCACATGGATGAAAACTGTCTTTTTCCTTGAGCCCAACGTTAACAGATTGCTATGGTCTCCCTAGAGCAACTCTGCTGAGGAAGATTCTGGGGCAGGGCCCAGAGCAAGTGGTGAAGAATGCTGGGATTGATTAGTGAGGCCTGCCACAGCATAAGAGGGGAGAGGGGTATCAGGAGAGCTAACTGTTTTTTGCTAACCTTTTTTAAAAAAAGTAATACAAAACATACAAGAGCATAATGAGGCAGTTTACTATAGTTTATGTTAAAAAGTGAAATTCTACTTGATTTTAAATTGATCATATATTATTAATCACTGAGACAGTGCTATTTAATTACAATGCATTTGGATTTTGAGTATGTGCAAGGAAGATTTAAGATTCTTACCGGAGAATTGTTCACATCTACATTAGCAAAAAATACATTCTGGTATTTCACAGACATTGCCTTCAAAATAAAAAACAAATATTTCCCATTAGTTTGGTGTTAATATTAAAATATACACTAGAAGCATCTCTTCAGTAGAAACAAAAAAATGAACAAAAAGTTTGTTAAAGAGGACTAAGCATCATTCTGGTATTTCACTACAGCCTAGAGCTTGAAGCATCAAGTCAAATGCCAGGTGATGCTAAGGTTAGATGATGCAAGGACCAGTGACAGAAGCAGAGTCATAAAGAACCAAACTGAAAATTAGTGTTTCAAGGTTGGCAAAGAAATAACGGAATGTGGGTGGTGGGTCCAGACTTACCTTGTGGGGTGGAGGAGGAATGGATAAGAGTAGCCTTCTCCTGGGAGAGCAGTTGGGGGAATCTGTCTTCAGTGATCTTTGAGATACAGTTCTCTGAACCATACTCTACCTTCTCTTGCTTAGCATTTTGGGAGGTGCTGGTGCTGCTGGTGGTAGAAGGCTGTTCTGCTTGAAGTGATTTCAACATTTTAATGCTGGTCATTAGTTTAATTTCTTTGCATACTTGTTGCCATCTTTCTGTGCTCTAATATGTGTGGAAAGTAGGTTTTCCAAGTTCCATTGCTAGCTGACTTTCAATCAGGTTCTTCCAATGGGAATTATTTGCAGGAAATGGAAGTTGGGAGGAGGGAACAAGTAATTCTCTTCTACTTCTGTTTTGTTCTGGAATCATCTTTGGTAGTGGTGATGACCATGGTGGTGGTAGTGTGTCTAGGGTAAGCAGATGTGGCAGCAGCCACAGTAGCAGCAGCAGCAGCAGCAGCAACAACAACAGTGGCCTGTAAATGTCAGCTCCTGGGTGTCTTTTCACATAGCCGTGTTCATACCTTATGGACACTTGATGTCATCTTGATTTGTTTGCTTAAAATTATATCTCATGACTTTCTGGTGGCTTATATCTGTTGATCTAACTTGAAAATGTTTCCTGACTTTGATCTTTTCTTTTTCTCTAGAAGTCACTGCTCTAGTTTTGGAAAAACATGTCATTACTGTCATTTACCCTGAAGGGTTTCCTGCCTTCAGTCTTTCCAACCTATTCTTGTGCAATCTCCAAACATATTTTCTTTTCTTTTTTCTTTTGTTTATCTAAGATGAACGTACCATCTGCTATCCAAAAGTATTCTCTAAGCACCACATTTGATTGTGGCAAAATCCTTCTTAAAGTTGTCTATTTGACTCTCCACAGCAATTCATTAAGTTATAGCACAAGATCCTACTCGATCTGGCCTTAGCTTCCTTTTTGAGGCTCATTTTTTGCCACTTCTATTGCATACTACATGTTAGCCTCACAAACGACATATTGCCTTCCCCTGATCACACCATACAATTTGTCAACGAAATTATAACCTCTCCTTTTCCAGAAATCTTCTTTTCAGGAGTCTATGCCTAGTGATCCTCTTAACCCAGGGTCAGCAAACTATGCCCTGTGGACCAAATCCAGCCTTCTACCTGTATTTTAAATAAAGTTTTATTGGAACTACTTGCCCATCTGTTTTTGTGTTGTCATTGGATTTTGCACTATAGCAGGAAAGTTGAGTAGTTGTGACAGATATCATGTGGTCTACGAAGCTGAAAACATTTTCTGTCTTGTCCTTTACAGGAAAAGTTTGTTGACTCCTGCTCTTGCATTATTAAAATCACTTCTTAAAACCCACATTTTCTTATGATTTATTGATTTTTTTTCTTGTTGCCATACATCCATTAGCAGTTTCTTCAGAGGGATTCTGTGGGTAGTAAACTTTTGGTTTTTGTGTGTCTGAAAATGTCTTGAATTCTTTCCCTCTCTTGAATAATGGTTTTGCTTATTAACTTCCATTTCATCATCCTGGAGAGCCTGGAAAACAAAAGTGGTGAAGATTTCTTTGCCTCCCTTGCAGCTAGAGTTCTGGATGCAAATTTCACTTCACCAGTCAGATGCATGCCAGTGAGACTTGAAAGGCAGAATGAGACAGAAGCTACTTTCTTTTTATTTTTTGGTGGAAAGCAAGGTTGTGGGCACTGGTTGTGCTAGAGGCAAACAGTGGTGGCAGCCAGACTCAGGGTCTAAAAATCAACTTCTTAGATGTCCAGAGGCCATTGTGGCTATAGCAGCTGCCTAATCCTGGTTCGGACTCTCTGAATGCTGCTCTGTTGGTGGTTTTTTAACTCCCAATCATGGCCTCCTGTTTCCCGTGACTTCTGGTTATGGCAAAGTTAGAATCTCCACAAGTGGGTCTGTTGTGTTCTAGAGTGGTTCATGGAGTTTCTGTCCCGAGCCCATTCACCTGGGCTTCTGATGATTTTATGAGCATTTAATTCCTTGTATTAAAATCCGCTTCTAATTTGGCTCTAATATGGTTTTTGTTTCTTGCTTTGATCTCTGACTGATATAGTCATCTAACCTTTCTGGCACCAAGGACCAGTTTCATAAGACAATTTTTCCACACACTGCAGGCAGGGGGATGGTTTCAGGATGAAACTCTTTCACCTCAGATGATCAGGTATTCTATGCTTATAAGGAGTGTGCAACCTAGATCCCTCCCATGTGCAGTTCACAATAGGGTTTGCACTCCTATGAGAATCTAATGCTGCCACTAAACTGACAGGAAGTGGAGCCCAGGAGGTCATGCTTACTCACTGGCCCCTCACCTCCTGCTGTGTGGCCAGTTCTAAACAGGCCATGGACCCATGGACTGGTACTGGTCCATGGCCCAGGTGTTTGGGACCCCTGATTTAGAGGAAGTAAAACCTTCCTCCAACCCCCTCATATACTATGAGTTAAAAAAAGTATGCATATGATACAGGAATATCTTCTCTTACAAAAGTTCAAACTTTACAAGAAAAAGCAAAATATGAAATTCTCCCATTCACAACCTTTTCACAATTCTTACTCTTTTTTACAAAAAAAACTTGTTTGATATGCATCTTTCTGCTCCCCATTTGTTTGCATATACAAATTATATATGTATATGTGTATATACACACGTTTATATACTCACATATGTACTTATATGTACATATATGTGTCTGTTGTACATAATTGGGACCATACTCTATACATGTTTTATACTGTGCTCTTTTTACTTAATAATATGCTGTCCCTAAGAAAAATTTTAAAAAATATGTTGTCCTAGAGATAATTCCATATTTACATGGATCCACTTAATCCTATTTTATTTCTTTTTTGAGACCAAGTCTTGCTCTGTCATCCAGGTTGGAATGCAGTGGCATGATCTCAGCTAATTGCAACCATTGCCTCCAGGTTCAAGCAATTCTCAATGCCTCAGCCTCCTGAGTGGCTGAGACTACAGGTGCATGCCACCACACCCAGCTATTTTTTTGTATTTTTAGTAGAAACAGGGTTTCACTGTGTTAGCCAGGATGGTCTCAATCTCCTGACCTCATGATCCGCCCGCCTTGGCCTCCCAAAGTGCTGGGAATACAGGTGTGAGCCACCATGCCCGGCCTCTACTTAATCCTTTTAAACATCTGAAATATTTCACAGAGTGGATGAACCAAAATTTAAAAACTATATTAGCATTAACCTGGATTCCCACAGGAAACAGATGGCACAATCAAATTAGGATAATTTGAATTTTGTTTTGTTTTGTTTTTACAAAGGGACTACCTATATCTATTAAGGTAAGAATGGGCATAGGAGGGGCTGCAGAAGCTGTTAACTGCCCTTAGGGCCTGAAGATATGAGAGAGGGAGAGGTTACCAAGACGTAGATTTCATTATATTTTGTGGTAATGCCTCTTATTGGTTATTGGAATTGGATCAGCTCTGACTTTGTGGCCTGTGGGTATATAGTACATTTATATCCCTGAAACTGAACACTAGCTATTCTCTGGCAAAGTCAAGGAAATCCTCTTTTCTTAAGTCTTGAGTGTCAGCATGGTAGAACCTGTCAAATACTAAAAATGTTCCCTCAGAATATTCTTTATTTTTTATTTTTAAATACAGTGAGGACTTCACTATGTTGGCCAGAGTGGTATGGAACTCCTGGCCTCAAGCAATCTTCCCCTTCATCCTTCCAAAGTGCTGGGATTACAGGCATCAGCCACCATGTCTGGTCTTCCCTCTGGATATTCTAAGAATTTTAGGCAGAGAAGGAATGTTGTGATGTTATGTAGCCAGTTTCTCTGTTGGAATATAAGTTCATTTTTAATTAAATATCAGATTGTGATTGTGGTTAAAATTAACTCAGCCTGTGACGGAGGCTCGGGTGGATTTTAAAAAGTTGAAATGTTAGAACAGTGCTGAAAATAAACCAGAGTATTTTTAATTGTACAGAGTATTCTTTATATTTGAAGGAATAACATTCACAAAATTGACCATAAAAACATGTAAAGTTTTATACAATAAGGAGAAATGAAGGAAAGTGCCCTGAGATTCTTTCTGTAGTATGTTAAACAAAAAATAAATTTAAAAAATGGTAAAAAACTGTTAGGTAGGCTATTACAGACATTAACCAGATAAAATATTGTATAGATATTAAAAGGTTCATTTGGAGACATAAAAACATGAATCAATGTGTAGTATGTGGAAAAAGATCTGGATATAAATATATGATTGGAACTCAGTGGAATATTTTACAGGTTATTTTACAAAGTAAATCAAGGACAAGAAAGGAATGTGCAAGGCAAATTATTTGCCTAAATGCAACATTGTATGGACCTGGAGGACATCTTGCTAAGTGAAATGAGTGAGTCACCATAGAATAAATACTGCATGATTCCATTTTTATAAAGTATATAAAATATAGTCAACTTACAGAGGCAGAAAATATAATGGTGGTTGTCAGGGAATAGGGAAGAAGTAAATGAGTTGTTTAATGGGTATAAAGATACGGTTGTACAGGATAATTTTTAGAGATGTGATATACCAGGGAATCGTCAATTGCTTGTTAGGAACCAGATTGCACAGCAGGAGGTTGAGGGACAGTGAGCAATCACTACTGCCTGAGCTCTGCCTCCTGTCAGATCGGCGTGGAATTAGATCCTCATAGGAGCAGAACCATATTGTGAACTGCACATGTGAGGGATCTAGGTTGCACTCCTTATGAGAATCTAACACCTGATGATCTAAGGTGGAAGAGTTACATCTTGAAACCATCCCCACACCCCCACCCTCACCCCTAGTCCATGGAAAAATTGTCTTCCACAAAACTGGTCCCTGGTGGCAGAAAGGTTGAGGACCACTGTGATATATAGCACAGTGCTTATAGTTAACATTAGGGTGTTGCACACTTAAAAATTTAGTGTAGATTTCATGTTAAGTGTTCTTATCACACATACACACACACTCACACACACACACACAAGCAAATGTACACAAGGTTTCATTTGGAGATGATGGATATTGATTATGGTAATGATATTGTGGGTGTATACATAGGTCCCAACATCATCTGTATACATTAAATGAACAGATTTTGTATAATAATTATACCTCAATAAAGCTGTAGGAAAAATGACATAAAGATGTATGGTTTGTTCTGTTAATAAAGTTGATGAATTGGGAGAAATTTATTCTTTTATGTTATATTTTAAAACAAATATCATATTTATCTGTATTACAATCCAATGTTTGAAAGTTCTGAACTCTTGAAACTTTGGTAAAATGTCATTGAAATAATATGAAGAATCCATTAATTTGTACAATTGCACTCTTATGTGCATCTTGGGAATGTTCCTTTCAGAATTACCCATGGACAAGAAGTATTAATCTTCTGATACGTACACTCATTATCTACTTAGATCTCAGCCTATTATCTTCAAGTTAATCAGGGTGCTTCAAAAAAACTACAGCTCCATAATGGCTCATAAGTGCCAAACTTTTAAGAATTACTGGGGAAAATATCCTGGAACTTTAAGTTTCTTCTAAAACTATGAGATAGATAGTGGTTGTACTTACATGAAAAATAGGGCACATCCTTTTGCAGGGACCACACCATGTTGAAGAAAATTCAACCACTGCGAGTTTATGTCCAGCAGCTGTCAAAAATGTTTTAAATTCATTCTGAAACCAGAAAGTAAATGAAGAAATGTGCATAATCACTGAATCTCATGACATTTTGTAGAGAAAAAGATGACAGCTTAGTTTTGGTTTTGTTTTTTTAGAGGTAGGGTTTCACTATGTTGCCCAGGCTGGTCTTGAACTCCTGGGCTCAAGTGATCCTCCTGCCTCAGCCTCCCAACGTGCTGGGATTACAGGTGTGAGCCACCATATCTAGCCATGTTAGTGCTTAAAACCCTTAACCAGCTATTCCATCCCATTGTTCTCTAGCTGACCTCACCTTTTCTAAACTTCCTTCATGTCAACTATATTTCTTTGTAAGTACATAGAAATGATGGAAGTCTATGCACCAAAAAGGTTGGTAATGGAAGTTGATAATGGTGGTTACCTCTGAGGAGAAACAGGTTGGGATGGGGGCTGGAGGGTGGGGGTGAACTGCTGTTCAGGGCAGATATCTATAGTACTGGATTTTTATTAAACAAGGGCCTAAACATGCATGACTAGTGAAATTTAAAAGAAGAAGAGCTAATCTCATCCCTTGAGTCATTTCTTGTTTTCTGGGAGAAGTGATCATTATTACAGCTACAGTTAAAACCATGCATTTAAGGATTTGACATGTCTGTTGTTGAATGTCAAGTGAATTTCCCATCAACTTTGTATCATCTAAGTAAATAAAGGTTTCCCTTTCTGAGAACTCAGATGACTGCATCTAAATTTGCTTGCTTTATGAAAAGTGACTAGTCCTACACTACTATTTCATGCATGGTTGATCTCCTCAAGTCCGTACAGAACTTAATCTTGATTCATTCCCATACCTCACATGATCCCTAACTCACATGGTAAGTGCTCATAGAGTGTTTTCTTTATATTTGTTTAAATTTAATTTTATTTTTTGTAGACAGGGTCTGGCTCTTTATCCAGGCTGGGGTGTAGTGGTGCAATCTCAGCTCACTGCAGCCTCTGCCTTCTGGGCTCAAGTCATCCTCCCACCTCAGTCTCCCAAGTGCTGGGATTATGGGTGTGAGCCAACTCGCTCAGCCTGAGTGCTTTCTTTATGAAGGAATGATTTGCTAATATATAGTACTCTGTTCAAGATTTTTCCTTTTTTTACTGGAATTGTAAGAATTGTAGCTAATTTACTCTGTGCCCTATATTCTCTCCCATAATATTTACAATCACACCACAGTGTGTATACTATTATTATCTCCATTTTACAAATGAGAAAACTGAAGTTCACTCTTTACATGTTCAATTAGCTTGTGAGTGGTATAGTTGGGATTGGTATCCCAGGCAGCCCGACTCCAGTTCCCATTTCCTTAACCACAACACAAAATCCTCTCCTGAGTTATTATAGAATTAGGACTTAATTTCCCTTTTGCTGGCCCTAATTGCATGTGTGCTTATTCCTGGACCAAACATTAAGAGGAGGGGGGTGGGGTTGTTAATTGGATTAAGTCAGGCAAGGCCTATCCTCACTATGGATGGGTTTTATTCCATATAAATGTCATGTGATATGGTTTGGCTGTGTCCCCATCCAAATCTCATATTGAACTGTAGCTCTGATAATCCCCACATGTTGTGGGAAAGATCTGGTGGGAGGTAATTGAATTATGGGGGTGGGTTTTTCCCATGCTATTTTCATGAGAGTGAATAAGTCTCACAAGAGCTGATGGCTTTATAAAGGGCAGTTCCCCTGAACATACTCTCTTGCCCGCCACCATGTAAGACATGCCTTTGCTCCTCCTTCACCTTCTGCCATGATTGTGAGGTCTCCCGGCCATATGGAACTGTGAGTTCATTAGACCTCTTTTTCCTTATAAATTATCAAGTCTTGGGCATTTCTTTATAACAGTATGCAAATAGACTAATACAACATACCTGCTCTATAATAGTCTTGACAATTATGTTGCTACTTTATTTAGTTTCAATCAGGTGAAAGTGATGACTCAAAGAAGATGCACTCTCTTTATCAATGTTCCTCTAGGATGGAGTAACTAACTTTCCAGAGAGCCATGCCAAGCCTTTATTTCTCACTTGCTTCTGAAGTTATAAAGTAGATGCCATCCTCACAAGCCACAACACTCTTCACTTTCCAGTAGTTGTTTGGGTGTGAGCTGGCCTAGTTGGATCCATGAACTTGACTTAGCTAAATTATCTGAAGGGAATACTCTCAAGAATAGGTATTTATTTAACATATACCTATTGAGGTTTATCCTATGCCAGGTACTGCACAAACTGCTAGGATACCACTGTGGACAAGAAACAAAACAAAACAAACAAGAACTATCCATTCTGTCTCCATGGAGTTTACATTTAAGAATGGGAAGCTCACTGTAAGGTCAATAGATAATATTTATAGTATATTAGTGATAATTGCTAATAAAGAAAAGAAAATGAGATAGGAAGAAATAATGGGGGTTGAATTACAACTGTAGTCCAGATGGCCAAGTTGACTCAAAGAGAAGGTGTCATCTGAATAAAGATAGGATGGAGAGCAGGGCCTTGGGAAAGGTCCCTGGGGAGGAGAGGAAATGTCCTTTGAGGGAATAAGGCTCTGGAATATTCTGTGACATTCCCAGAACATTAAAAAAAATAAGTGTCAAAAGCATTAGCAAATGTGTGATGTTTCAACATATTTTCTTATATCAAAGTTACAGGGCAGTGCTCTCTTTTAATCTGGTCAGTGTCATTTTTGTGATCTGCATAACCACGTTTGGGGAAAATGTCACAAGTCTAAATCTGAGGGTACTCATGGACATGAGGCTCAGGCCCTAAACCCTCTCCCCTCCTCTGGCTCTTGACTTCCTGTAATGAGGGCAGGAATCAGAATGTCTGGTTTCTAATGCCCACACCACCTCTTAAATCAGGTACCCCTGAACTTCTCTTTTAGAGGCAATTTTCTCCTTTATAAATCAATGATTTCTCTGTCCTCCACATGAATTTAGATTTGTTGTGACAGTAACATTGGGCAGTGGGTAGAAGGTGGCTCTACAAAGTGCCCACCTAAGGGATTATTGATACTACTAGTCACAATTTTCCCACCCCATTCCACATCTGGGGTTTCTATTCTCTTTTCCAGGGTAAGAGAAAAGATGTGGGCTCCCTTACTTCCATGGAATTTTCCAGACACAACTAAGGTAGAATCCATGGGATCAGATACAGGATGTGATATGCTAGGAGCTGGCCTGGATTCACCTGAAGTCAGAGCAGGAAATAAGAGTCCAGGAGGAAGAAAACCCTTCTTGACCAATTTGCTCTTTGGCTAATTTTCTAGATAGTACCGTCCCTCAAGGAACAAGACGAAGAGCAAGAATTTAAAATTCTCCCCTTGCTACAACACAGTGAAGGACTACTGGGTAGAGAGAACACATTCTTAAGTTTTTTCACATCGTTTCTCAAGATGCCCACATTTGAAATATTCAGTGAAGCCAAATAAATACTTGCCATGTCTTTAATAATCTGCACCATGATTTACATCAGGAAAGTGTTGATGAAAATCCCCTGTTGGTTTAGTTGGATCACTGTAGCCGTCTCCTATTTATTACAGTATCTGCCTGGAATATGCAGGTAACCTCTCTATGACATCACTAAACAACCTGGAACTTCGGCAGACTTTGGATTTTATTTCTCTTTCATGCCTTGACTAGTTCACTTGTGTCCAGCCAAGAATCGGAAAACTGAGGGTCTTATATGCAGAATCGGCAATGTGTTTGCCTTATTTTCATCTTTTATAACCCATTTCCACATATCCCTCTCCCTTCTCCCATCCCTCCATCCCATTGCCAAATGAGAAGCAAGCAGAGTAATGTTAAATAGATGAGATTTTCACTTAAGAACTTGAAGATATGATTTTGCTGTTGAGAAAAATACTAAAGTCTTAGCCCTTTAAGTCCTGTAAATTTGATTTCATGAGTCATAGATTCCCTAAACTGTGTTATTTTGCTCTAATTATTTAGACAGTAAAGAAATGTCACTTTTATGCACTAGATGAAGGGTTGGCAAATGTTTTCTCTATAGGATCAGATACTATTTTAGCTTTATGGGCCACCTACACTCTTTGTTGCATGTTCCTCATTTTTGCAAGCTTTGAAAAATGTAAAAACCATTCTCAGCTAGTAGGATGTGCAAAAAACAGCATCACTGTGCTCACCCCTGCACTTGATAATTTGTCATTTTCAGAAATTGATGCCAGAAAAAAATCCTGGACATGGCCATGGCCAATGTTCCTCAAATCTATGGAGCAACAAAAACAACCAAAATGGGAAATAGTAAGTTCTATAATAAAATAAAAAATAGCAAAATCCTTCTTTCTGTTTTTCTGTGTATCCAGCTCTGGGTCTTTATTGTTGCATGAAAACTGTCAGATGAAGACAGTGGCTACATCTGTAGAGGTATTCGAAGTATGCATGTAACAAAATATTGCCTGTACCCCATAAATATGTAGAAGTATTATGTATTGATATGGTTTGGCTGTGCCCCTAATCAAATCTCATGTTGAATTGTAGTTCCCATAATTCTCAAGGGTTGTGGGAGGGACCGGTGGGAGATAATTGAATAATCAGGGTGGTTCCTCCATACTGTTCTAGCGGTAGTGATGGTTTTATAAGGAGTTTCCCCATTTGCTTGCAAAACCAGAGAGAGAGAGAGAGAGAGAGAGAGAGAGAGAGAGAGTGAGCGAGAGCGAGGGAGCTAGTTAGTAAGTACAGCAAATTTCTAGTCCTGGAAAAATTTCCTGGCCTAGTATTTTCTAGAAAAGAGCAATCTGGGCCTTCCCTTTGCACTTGACTGCCTTCTTTGTTTCCCTCACATGTTTTCCTAGACTCATTTCTTACCATGTTGTTGGTCTCATGAAGCTCCAAGACAGTCTGGGTGGAGTCACTTTTTGAGAAGTCAGTGTTGCATTTTTTTTGTTTTTGTTTTTTTTTTAAAATTTAACCAGGAAGAGAATCCTGAGAGTGGGTTGGGAATTTTAAATCTTGAAAAATCTACAAGAAAAACAGGCTGGAAAGAAAAGAAGTAAAAAGAGAAAGGAGGGAGTGGGGAGGAGGAGGGGGAGGGGGAAGGGGGAGAAAAAGCTGGTAAGAGGAAAAAAAGAAAAAGGAAGAGCAAAAGAAGGCAAAGCAAAATAAAAGTTAAAAAAGTAAATGAAAGATGGATGAAAAAGTAATTACAGACAGAAGATAAAGAACTTATGAATAGGGGTCGGGCAGGGTGGCTCATGCCTGTAACCCCAGCACTTTGGGAGGCCTGAGGTAGGTGGATCACTTGAGGTCAGGAGTTTGAGACCAGCCTGGCCAGCATGGTGAAACCTCATCTTAGTATACTAAAAATACAAAAATTAGCCAGGCCTGGTGGTGTGTGCCTATAATCCCAGCTACTCAGAAGGCTGAGGCAGGATAATCACTTGAACCCAGGAGGCAAAGGCTGCAGTGAGCTGAGATCGCACCACTGCACTCCAGCCTGGGCAAAAGAGTGACACTCTCAAAAACAAAAACAAAAACAAAATAACAAATCCCAAAAAACATACAAGTAGGACTTTCATTACGTAGTCATACATAGACATTAGCATCACCTGGGAGCTTGTAGATAGAACTGTAGAACTTCCAGTTCCATCCCAGATCCACTATAATCTGTGTGATTCTTGTGCACATTTATGTTGGAGAAGCACTGTTCTAGAGACAGAGAATTTCTAACAGGGATATGGTTCTGTGGACCTGTGAACCAGCATCATCAGCACCACTTGAGAACTATGAGAAATGCCAAATCTCAGGCCCCACCCTAGACCTGCTGACTCAGAATTTCTGAGGGTAGGGCTAATAGTGTTAACAAGCTACTGCATGCTCAAGATTGAGAACCACTGGGCTAGATTTGTTTTTAAACTACTGGATGGGTTTATGTTGCTCAGGTGTACTATGTCTTCAACACCATGATGGCTCAAGATTACTATTCAAAATATTTAACAATTTGAGTGGCTTGGATGCTGATCAGTCAGAATAAGCAATAGCTATGCATCTGCTCAGCCATTTGCTCTGCCAACCATAACCCTTTCAGTTTCTGGATTTGGGGGAGATCCAGCGTGTTATAGGGAACAGATTAGGTCAGCCTCAGTGAGGTGGGACATGGGAATTGGGGGGGCAAAGCCTATTTATCAACCATTCAGTATTTAAATAATTTTAACAACCGCTATGTACACTGCTGTGTGTGTCAGCTAAACGTTAGCCTTGTGATATTGATGATAAATTCAACAGCTGCTCTTCCTAAATGCCGTGTAGTCAACTGCAACAAAGTGATTTATTTATTAAAAAAAATGTTTATTCGAAATTAGTGGCTGGGCACAGTGTCTCATGTCTTAATCCCAGCACTTTGGGAAGCTGAGGTGGGCAGATTGCTTGAGCTCAGGAGTTTGAGACCAGTCTGGGCAACGTGGCGAGATGCCATCTCCACAAAAAACTAAAAAGTTAGCTGGGGTGTGGTGGTGCATGCCTGTAGTCCCAGCTACTCAGGAGGCTGAGGTGGGAGTATCCTTTGAGCTTGGGAGGTCAAGGCTACACAGAACCATGGTCATGTGACTGCACTCCAGCTTGGGTATAAGAGCAAGATCCTGTCTCAAAACAACAACAACAAAACCCCAAAAACCGAAATTAGTATGTTTGCTTGGAATATCAGCATGAACATGGGGCTCTTTGACACATTTACAACCTTCAGTGGCCCCCTTACTATTAGGAAGAAAAACTATGCTAGGTTCCTGGGCCAATAGCTCATCTCAGAAACAGGACAGGAAAAAGCTCTATTAATTGAACAGCACTTAGTGCTGGCTCCAGGTGATTGAGCAGGAGTTGAGGGGATAGATGCCGTGGATAGTGCACATCTCGAAAAGTGTGCAGAAAAAGAAACCCACGAGGCTAAGAATTGAACAAAATACCAAGACAGAAAAGACCATTCTCACTCTTCATTCAACCCCTGCAATTTGCATTAAGGGCTATGAATGAATTCACATGTGCAAAAACTGTGCCAAGGACAAAGTGTTCCACAAAAGTGAGTTATGTAGTATTATGGCAATCATCGCCAGCATGGGCAAACTCATGCCTTTGGCTTTTGTAGGCTGTATCTTTGTATGCCGCTGTGAGATATGCAGAAATTGATCACAGTAAGGACAAACATGTACATTATTTTCTAAAACTTTGTAGATTATGATCCTAAAAGTCCTTGGATTTTCCTTCAGGCATGAAAAGAGCTGGAACATAGAAAAAGATGTCAGGGAAATGCCTGCCTCTCTGTCATAAACAAGCACTTAGAGTAAGGGAGATGTTACATATGGGTCAGTTTAGAAAAATGACTCAGCAAACATATTCCATGAAACAGAAATGAACCTCAGTGTGCCCTTACAAAACCAAGAAATGGGGACATGAATGTTAAGAAAGAATATCAAGTTTTAATGATTTAGCAAGAAAATAAGTAACTGTGATAAATTCAGGAAAACTGCCTCATTGGAGCAGCCTGTTATTGGGAAGGGATAGAAAAAGGCGAGATGGTATTATTTTATTTATTTTATTTGACAGGGTCTTGCTCTGTCACTCAGGCAGGTGTGTAGTGGCACTGGTAGGCAGGTTGCCCCATCACTGCAGCCTCAATCTCCCAGGCCCCAGCCATCCTCCACCTCAGCCTCCTGAGTACCTGGGACTACAGGCATTCATCATCACGCCAGCCTAAGAGATGGAGTTATTAAAGAGGGTCCCCAAATGCTTATTGCTTGTAGACAGAACTTATATCGTGTTATCAGTATAAGAGCCATTTTTTAAAAAAGTAGGCTGGGCGTGGTAGCTAATGCCTGTTATTTCAACATGTTGGGAGGCTGAGGCAGCTTGATTCCTTGAGCCCAAGAGTTCTTGACCAGCCTGGACAACATGATAAAACCCCATCTCTACCAAAAATAAAAAAAAATTATCTAGGTGTGGTGGCATGTACCTGTGGTCCCAGCTACACAGGAGGCTGAGGCAGAAGAATGGCTTAAGCTCATGAGGTCGAGGCTGCAGTGAGCTGAGATTGTGCCATTACGCTCCAGTCTGAGCAACAAAGTGAGACTCTGTCTCGAAAAAAATGTATATATGTGCCATATTATTAATAAGATAACAAATCAAAAGCATTTTATCAATCAATTGATATAAAAATACTTGTGGGGAGAAGAGGCAGGAATATATAGCCTTGTGCTTCTAAAATTTGAAGCTGGAAATATGTTGTGCTTCTAAAATTTGAAGCTGGAAATATTTGAAGCAAACCTCATACTTCTGAAGTTTGGAAATTATTGTGCTAGAGTATTTGAAATAGAAGTCACAAGCCACATTATTAAAATTAGGTTGTATGATTAGAAATTGGAAGCAGGGAACAGACCCAATATTCGTAGTTTTACATAATAAAAGGAAGGGAAGAGATTATGTGTTCTTCTATTTTCTTTTTTGTTTTGGAGAGTGAGTCTTGCTTTATTGCCCAGGCTGAAGTGCAGTGGCAAGATTTCGGTTTACCACAACCTCCGCCTCCGGGTTCAAGCCATTCTCCTGCCTCAGCCTCCCAAGTAGCTTGGATTTCAGGTGCGTGCCACCAAATCCGGCTAATTTTTGTATTTAGAGTAGAGATGGGGTTTCACCATGTTGGCCAGGCTGGTCTTGAACTCTGGACCTCAAGTGATCCACCAGCCTTGGCCTCCCAAAGTGCTGGGATTACAGGTGTG